AAGCAGGGAACAGGGAGAGGAGAATACAGAGTGCTTGGACGTGCCAGCCTAGCTCACGCACTTAGCTGCTGAGTGCTGTCCCTCAGCAAAGCTGCAGGTACGCACTCAGATCCACACCCGACAGGCCTGGAGGCCCCGCTCGGATGGGTAAGTGGTTGACTTGGCCAATTAGGATGGGGACCATTTTCCTGAGTGCTGGTGTGTCTGGCTGCCGAGGCGGTGTGGGGAGGGCACAGTTCCCCTCCGTCTCCTCTCCAGCGCCACATCCCTTGTGGCCTGCCCTGGTCCCTGCCTCCCTCCAGGCTGGGGCAGGGTCTGGGGCTAAGGGGCCAACACGTCCAGAACTTGCCCTCCTGACGGCTTCCTGGCCAGGCCTCACTTCGTCAGAGCTCACCTAGTGCTGGGACGCACATGGCCTCGGATTCCCCACTCCTCCTTTTCAGGAGTTCTGCCCAGGCTGCCTCCAAACCGCCGGCGTCCAGGGTGGGCACAGTGCCTCTTCCTATTGGCACAGCATTGATTTTCCTCCGAGTTGGTTGGTCATCGCTGCTCTGGGTAATGTATTTTAATGAATTGATATTTGCTGGACGTGGACCCAAAGGACTTTTTATCATGAAGGGCCCCATCCTGAAAACCTTAATAAATCACTCACTCTTCACAACAGACCTGCTGGTTGGACAGGGTCTCCCACTGAGTCATTGCCAATGAAGGAGGCTTCTTTCCTATGGTCCGGCCGGCTGGCACCTTTTATTCTGCATGGCTGGACTGTCTGTCTTGACATCTTAAGAAGGAAAATCTTCCCGCTGCACATCAGGATGAGAAGTGGGGGCCTTGGCTTTGGAGCTTCTCAAGGTGCTGTCCACCTGCGTGTATGCCACCACGCCTGGCGAGCCGGCGAAAATGCCGATTCATGGCTCCACCCAGGCCTCCTCGTGAAAATCTTCGGGGCTAGGGCCCTGGGATCTACATTTTTAACAGCACCAGAGGAGGTTCTTCTGGCCATCAAAGTTAGGAAATAGCAGCCCCGAAGCCGTGTATCTTTAGCATGCCCTGTTTATTTCTGTCGTTCTTTTTAAAGTGTATTGACGGATGTGTCTCTCTTCCCTCCTGCACGCTGGCCTCTGCTGTCCTTCCAGTGCCACGCACACCTCTGTGCTATTTACTAGGGGGTTGTCTCAGGGACTGGGTCCACATCCAAGTCAGCTGGGGATTTTCCTCAGAGCTTTCCAGAAGCATGACTCGCTCATCTGGATTCCGGCCACCGTGGAGTAAGGGCCCCTTGGTGTGACGGGGGCAGCATCAGGGTGGATTCTGGGGCTTCCAGCAGCCGCTGGGAAGAGGAGGGAGATGTGCGGATGAAGCAAGGGGGGCCTTGGGGAGACGGTGGGCTCTGCAGCTTCCCTAGAGACGTGCACAGGGCACTGGGCTGCCCGGAGGCAGAAGGGAGGGAGGTGGCCCCTGAGAGAGGATGTCCAGGCTGGCCCGGGTGTGGTGCCTGGGAGCTCTGCACCTGGGGCTGCCTGCAGCTTGCGTTTCTGCTGCAGTCTGTCCTTCTACTCTGTTGTCACTGAGACCAGTCCTCAAGGTCCCTAGCCGTGCGGATCCATCCCATGCCCCCTCCTGCTGGCTGTTCAACTTCCCTTCGTCTGAGATGAAGGCTGCTGGGACTGCCATGAGATGGCTCTGGTGGCCCCTCAGGTTATGAGCCTTAAAGCGACCTCCCCCAGTCCCCTTTAAGTCCCCTCTCTACCCTCCCACCTCATTTCACTCCTTGTCCGCTCTGCCCGCCTCTCTCTTTTGCCCTTCCTGCCTTGATAGATTGAAACCAACATCGTGTTCCGGCTTCTTGTGGTCCTGGCAAATAGCTCTTAATGTGGCCGTGGTGGACGGGGAGAAGGGAGTGACGGGTGTGTGCCGGTGTGGGGGCTGCGGGGACGTGCCCTCATCTCTGATGGGAGGAGGAGGGGAGCGTGCCCCACAGGTGATGCCCCATGCTAGGGTTTCAGCAGAGCCCCGAGAAGGGCTGCATGGGCCTGGGACAGGCCTGGGTGTCCTCAGAGTCCCCTTTGACACAGAGAGGCAGACAGCTCAGCAGGGAGCAGATGGCCTGGCCTTAGCAGTCCACCGGGCCAGCACAGCAGTCAGGAGCAACCGGCTCCTTCTTTGAGGGCAACAAGAGACATTTCCACTTGTAGTTAGCAAACAGGATTTAATTAAACAATTTATACCTCTTCGATTTTCTAACTGAGCCTTAGTGGCTTGGCTATTATCGTCCCTGATGTTGTTGCTGCAAATGGTCGCCCATGTGGGGATACATTACATGGCAGAATAAGTTTAATATTGACATTTGCAAAATCGATGCAGAGTGGGGCCTGGCCACAGGGGCAATGAAGGGCCAGGATATCAGGCAATGGAGTCTCCCCCTGCCTTGGGGACGCTTCCCTAGCTCTCATGCTGAAATTTCTTCTGTGAACCACTGTGAGTCAGGAGGGCAGCCATGCCCGGACCTCCATCTGAGCAGCCTTTGGGGGTCCAGGTGCAGGGCCAGGGTGGTGGAGATTCAGACAGTTCTCAGCCAAAACCCCTTTCCAGTTCAGACCAGCACCCAGCCCCGAGAGCCCCGGTCCTCTGCAACCCTCTGGCCCTGTGTCACTCCGAGCTGACTGCTGGCTGAAGTCCTGAAGCCTCAGGAAAAACTAGGGACAGAGAGGTGGTTCTGGAGGGTTCAGTGAATGGGTAGAGCACCCAGTGTGTGTGTGTCTGTGCATGTGTGTGCATGTGTGTGTCCGTGTGTGTAGGGGGATGCATGTACCTGGTGAGGCATCTCTGTGCGAGCTCTTGGTGACATAACTTGGCTGCCTGTGGTTCATGTGTGTGTTGATCAGGACATTCGTGTTTTGTGGTCGTCTGAGCACTTGTTTTTGGCGATGGGCTTCTGTGTGAGTGTTTATTTTTAGTGGCTGCCACTTCTGGCCTAAGGGCCGATCTTTGGGCATGGTAGGAACATTTGTATTCTCTGAAATGCTTGTGGCTTTAAGTTGAAGTATTTATTTTGGGGTATTCCTGCCTTTTATGTGTTTATTTAACTCTGTGTGTAAGTGTGTGGGATATGAGAGAAATGCAGTGTGATAAGAATTGCATAGTCTTTGAAATAAATGAGTTCTGATTTTAAATCCTGGCTTTACCAGGTGCTATGTGTTTATAAGTAAATAGTTCCCCTCTCAGAGCCTCAATTTCTCCATCTTTACAATAGGTATAATCCTGTCCGACTCACAGGGTGAGAAATCATGCGTGTGTGGGGTGCCCAGCGCAGTGTGGCATGCAGGAGGTGCTCACTGCGTGCTGGCCACTGTCATCACTGTGTGCGTGCCCACAGCACGTGCCCACGCCGTGCTTTCTGACCGTGGTTCTTGGCGTTCTGTGGGCACGCAGGGAACGCACATGTCTGGGTGTTTCTGATTTGGGTTGGCGTGCGTGTCTGACCGTCTTTGTGTCTGGCCCTGTGTGTGACTGCTGGTGTCTGGGCTGGAGCTGGTGCAGCCTTTGGGAGGGGGCTTTTCTCTTGCCAACTGAGGGCCCGAATTGGAGGGACGGGAGGGAGGCGCGCGTGTGTGTGTGTGTGCATGCGTGTGTCGGGGCGGGAGGCCGGGCTGCCGACTGCACAGGGTGTGAGGTCACCGAGTTCCTCTGGGCGGGGAAGTTCTTCCCTCCTGAGTCACCCCTTTGGCCCCGCGCCACCCAGCGCTCACTTTTTCCTTTCAGAGAAAGTGCAGCTCACGGGGGTCCCAGAGCTGTCTGCAGACAGAAGGACACCTCTCCCTGGCGAAGCCCTCTCGCTTTTGTGTTTTTGACCCCTAAGGTCCTTCCTCACCGCCCCGGTCCATGAACCCCCTGCATCAGCACCCAGTGGACCCCACGGCATAGGACTGCTGGTTTGCTGAACCCTGCCGTGCCCAGCACTTCAGGGGTCCTCGGCTGGCTGGGAGCAGCGGGGCTCCGAACTCCCCTTTCTGCAGGCCTGCGGCCATCCCACCTGCTTACCTGCCTGGCCAGGGCCCCTTTGCTGACGTTTGGGTGGTAGGGGCAGGGCCTATGAGGAGTGGGCAGTGCTGAGGGAGGAACTGGGAGAGGCCTCTGGAAATGTGGCAGTGGGTGGGGTGAATGGCATTGTATGTCTGAGCAGTTCTAGAAAATTCTTTGTGCTGAACCAGACAGACTCAGCTGTGGAGGCATGAGGGCAAGTTTGTCTTAGAGAGTCTTAGCCTATCCTCAGCCTGCCCCCACCTACCTTAGGCATGGTGGACCCTCATGGCACCCCTACTGCTCTCCCAGGCTCTCCTGTGCAGGGGCTGTTCCCAGGGAGGCTGGATCCCCACGCTTACACCCCCTGTGCACGCAGGGCAGTGGCTACCTCACCTGGCGTTCCGCCTCGAGCCAGGGCGGGAAGTCCAGGAATCGGAGCAGGGGTGAAACTTTCTGGGATGGAGCAACAGAGGGGACCCAGGATGCTTCAGAAATCACCATTTAGGAATTAATTATACTCACGATGGTGATGGTTATGGCTCCTTGCTGTTGACCTGTCACCATGTGGCAGGCACTGGTCTCAGCACACGTCGTGGGTCAACCCTTTTAAACTCAAAGCATTGTGTGTTTAGTGAATATTGGCAATTTCATATAGTTCAACCAGATTCTGTTATTTTCCACATTTTACAGATGAGGAAACTGAGGCCCAGGGTGTAACCCATGCCTCTGTGGTCGGGGAGGGAGATGTGGAGCGAGGCTTGGGCTGCTCGGTGTTGGGCTCCACTGCCCACCTCTGCAGCCAGGTGTGGGTGAGGGTCCCTGGTCCTTGTCCCTCTCCCTCACCTCTGGGTGGTGAGAGGAGGTTTTAGGATCCAGGAATGGGAGCTTTTAGCTCCTTCCCTTGGGAGCATAGATGCTGTCCCTGCTTCCCACTGATGTCTGCTGTCTCTGTCTCCCCTTTGGCTCTGTCCTTGCAGAGGTGGTGGGGCACACCCAGGGGCCGCTGGACGGAAGCCTGTATGCCAAGGTGAAGAAGAAGGACTCCCTGCACGGCAGCACTGGGGCCGTCAATGCCACACGCCCCATCCTGTCGGCCACCCCCAACCACGTGGAGCACACACTGTCTGTGAGCAGTGACTCGGGCAACTCCACGGCCTCCACCAAGACAGACAAGACCGATGAGCCTGTCCCCGGGCCCTCCAGCGTCCCTGCTGCCCTGAGTCCTGAAGAAAAGCAGGAGCTGGATCGCCTGCTGAGTGGCTTTGGCTTAGAGCGAGAGAAGCAAGCTGCCATGTACCACCCCCAGCACCTCAGGTCCCACCCGGCGGGGGGCCCGGCTGCGCCCTCCTCAGGCCACCATGTTGTCCCAGCCCAGGTTCATGTCAACGGCAGGGCCTTGGCATCTGAACGGGAGACAGACATCCTGGACGATGAGCTGCCCAACCAGGATGGGCACAGCGTGGGCAGCATGGGCACGCTGTCCTCCCTGGACGGGGTCACCAACACCAGTGAGGCGGGCTACTCAGAGGCCCTGTCCCCACTTCCCAATGGTCTGGACAAGCCCTACCCCGTGGAGTCTATGGTCAATGGCGGGGGCTACTCCTACGAGCCCGCCAGCCGGGCAGTGCCTGCCCACGCCAGCCACACGGCCCCCATGCGGCCCTCCTACTCCGCACAGGAGGGTTTAGCTGGCTACCAGCGGGAGGGGCCCCACCCAGCCTGGACACAGCCAATGACCACCTCCCACTGTGGTCACGACCCCAGCGGTATGTTCCGATCTCAGTCCTTTTCGGAAGCTGAGCCCCAGCTGCCCCCAGCTCCAGCCCGTGGGGGAAGCAGCCGGGAGGCCGTGCAGAGGGGGCTGAATTCATGGCAGCAGCAGCAGCAGCAGCAGCCTTGCCCACCTCCTCGCCAGCAGGAAAGAGCCCCCTTGGAGAATCTTGTGACCAGCAGGCCCAGCCCCCAGCCATTGGCAGAGACCCCCATCCCCGGGCTCCCTGAGTTCCCAAGGGCAGCCTCCCGGCAGGAGATCGAGCAGTCCATCGAAGCACTCAACATGCTGATGCTGGATCTGGAGCCGGCCTCGGCCGCTGCCCCCCTGCACAAGTCCCAGAGTGTCCCAGGGGCCTGGCCAGGGGCTTCCCCACTCTCTTCCCAGCCCCTCTCCAGCTCCTCCCGCCAGTCCCACCCACTGACCCAGTCCAGATCTGGCTATATCCCCAGTGGGCATTCTCTGGGAACTCCTGAGTTGGCCCCACAGGCCGCCCTGGAGTCTGTCCCTCCAGGCAGGTCTTACTCACCTTACGATTACCAGCCGTGTCCAGCTGGGCCCAGCCAGGGTTTCCGTCCCAAGAGCCCAGCCTCCTCCTCCTTGCCTGCCTTCCTTCCAAACTCCCACACCCCTCCAGGGCCTCAGCAGCCCCCAGCCTCTCTCCCTGGCCTCACTGCTCAGCCACAGCTCCCCCCAAAGGAAGCGACTTCAGACCCCTCCCGAACTCCAGAGGAGGAGCCATTGAATCTGGAAGGGCTGGTGGCCCACAGGGTAGCAGGTAAGAGCTTCAGGGACCATCCGTCCTGGGGATTCCCTCCTAACCCCTTGTTTTGTCTTGCTCTGGGGAGGTGCAGGCAGAGCTGTGACCCCTCAGCAGGCATGGATTTGGCCCGGGGAAGAGGCTGTCAGGACCCATGTGCCATCTATCCCTTACTGCATTCATTGTCTATTAAGGCACCGCCAAGCCAGGCACTGGAATTCAAAGATCAGTGTCTATCAGTTTCTGCTCTCAAGGAGTTTACAGTCTAGTGAGGGGAAGGGTACCCAGACAGATCATTCTAACAGAGTGCAATGTGTGCCATGACAGAGGTAGGGACCCAAGACCTCAGAGCCTGAGAAAGCAAAGCTTACCACCTAGGGCAATCAGGGAAGGCTTCCTTGAGGAGGTGACTTTAGGTTGGTGTATATATTTTCTAGGCAGAGAGGAGATTCTGTTATTGTCTGCTGTGCTGTCGTCCTTAGACTTCATTTCCTTGGGGGAGGCATAGAGAAGACTGGAGGGAGGGCTTTGTACACTCAAATTTCCCCTTGTGCCCTCCCAGAGGCCATAATGAAGATTGGGCTCTAGCTGGGGGTTCAACCTGGTGGGTGGGGCCTTTTAGGGTATTGTCTTTGAGGGGAGGCCAGGGTCCGCGGTTGGCTTTGCTGTTAGTGCTCGCGTAGGACCAGCTGTGTATGGGAAGCAGGCCTAAGAGATGAAGCTCCTTTTCCTGTTAGAGAATGCGCTTCTCTTTCTGGAGAGAGGAGGGAGAGGGGACAATCAGAAGGATTTATTGGAAAGGACAACTGTGGGGCTTCCTTCCTTCTCACTGGCCTAAGCCTTTGAGCATTCCGGAGTTGGCCAAACTGGGCGGGAAATCCTGTGGGTTGATTTTATTGTGGAGGTGAAGCCCAGGCAGGGATGGACCAGGGACTGGGGTTAGGTGGGCCTGTGCCCAGCCACTCAGCTGACAGGGTGGTGGGGAGAAGAGCAGTGGGGAGAAGAGCAGCCTGGGCAGCTGACTCTGTCCTCCACCCTTTGTCCTAAATTTAGGGGAAGCTGAATCACCATGCCAGCTGCAGGGAGGGAGGGAGACACCCTCCCTGGGGATGGGCTGTGGGTTTGGGGAAGCAGCTCAGGGCAGGCCAGCTGGCTCAGGACCTGGGTGTGGGGACATACGCACCCTGCCCCTGTACTTCAGAGCAGAGCAGAGTCCCCAGTTCCACTATTGCTATTGACATTGGTCATAGTGGGAGTGTTTACACCATGGAAATTGGCCACCAGGCCTTCTCCTCCCTGGGCCAGCTGGTCTAGCAGTACGTCATTGCTTTTACGTGGGCATCAAAACATAGGATGAGCAGCTCTCTAACCCTTGGGGCAAAATGCACCATGGGGTGGTCCACATGGAGCTTCAACTTCTGCTTTCTCCCACACCTGAGCTCCTGGGATAAGGACACACCCTAGTTTCTCTGTCAGCAGAGATCCTTTTCCTTTTGGTTTCACTGAAGGGAGAGGAATAGGGCTACTCAAATTCCCTGGGAATTTGATTCTCCTCCATTATTTTACAGATTTGGGGGTGGTAGTGGCCTGAAGACTAGTGACACTCTATTCTAAGGATGGGCAGGATCCGGGAGACTCCTGCTTGGGGAGCAGAATGAGTTTCCCCTCCTTTCTCCCTAGTGGAATCTTTCTATATGGCTCTCCTGGAGCTTACTCAAGAGGAAGGCATAGCCCTAGTGGCCCATCTTGTAGTGGACCTCCCTTCAGCCCTTCCTTTTCTACCAGCTTCTGAGGTCTTGACTGTCAGCTTCCATATTCTGCAGCCTCTCAGGCTTTGGCTGCCATGAAGTCATAGGGAGGGAAGGATACTGTTGGCACAGGGTCTGTATTCCTTAACCCTGTTACCCATCTCCTCCACCAACTATGAGTGACTCAGTCAGGAGACAGGGTGAGATTGTATAGAGGGCGCAGTTATATTTGGTTCCCAGGGCTATGAAGTTGCCTCTTTGGTCCAGGCTCTGTCATGAACAGAATTTCTTATGTCGGCAGGTCCTGCTTACATACTTCCTTAGTAGCTCTTTAGGACGTGTCTGCAGTGCTCGTGTAGATAAAAGCACACAGGCAGGATCAATGTGCAGAGTAGTTTGGGAGGCATGGAGGATAGAAGTCCAGTACCACCTCTCTCTGCTCATTTTGCATTCTGCTACAATAAGCTGGGACATAAGCTTTGACATGAGTATCCCAGGAAGCTCAGATCTGAGAGAGAACCTCTTCATGGCCATGGAATGGATCTGGTTTTTCCTGGCATTTCTCCCTCAGCTCTGCCCTTTCTTCCTTGGCTGTTCTCCGTACCTCAGTACTGTGTCCCTGGTTCATTTCACTTTGATCCAACCACCCCTCATATCTGATTCCAGCATAAATCTTAGAGAATGTAGGGACAATTTTCTTAACTTGATAAAGGGTAGGTACCAGAAACCTATAGCACACATCATACTCTCTTGTGAAACATTGGAAGCATTCCTGTTATAGCCAGGGACAAAATAAGGATGTGTCTTATCACCACTATCATTTAACATTGTATTGTATGACCTAGCCAATGCAATAAGATAAGAAAAAGAAACAAGAGTCAGAGTTGGAGAGTCTGATCGGGTTATCTTATGTTCCTGATTCTGTGACTGGACTGATCTCAGATGTCTCTAGAGGTGGAGATTTCAATGCATGTTGGAAATCAGATATGGATCTTATCCTTAAGAAGTCTAGAATTTAGTAGAGGAGAAAGGAACTGGAATATTAAAACGAAGTCATTTGTAATAAGAGAGATATGGAGAAAGTTCTGTGGGAGAGAAGTGAAGAAATCACTATGAGCTAGATTGGGGAGGCTGTTTTGAGTTGGATTTTAAACTAAGCCTTGGACGATAGACAGGATTCTGAACATGGGTGGGTTCACCAGACAGAGAGGGTTCAGACTGAGGAAAGGAGAGCATAGGAAATGTTTGAAATTGTTTTGACAAGGGGATGTGGAATAAAAATTTTAAAAATAAATACAAAAAAGAAATGTTTAAAGAATAGTGAGTAGATTGAGAGCACATAGGTTGTGTAAGGGAGAGTCAGGAAAGGTAGCCTGGGGTCTATCTCAGGAGGGTCTTAAATACCAGGCTAAGGAGCTTGAATTCTACCTAGCAGCAACTCAAGAAGCCCTCACTGTGGATTAGTCAGGGGAATATGCCATGATCAGAGATGTAGTTTAGGAAGATGTGTCTGGTGGGCTTGGGAAGGAAGGTTGCTAAATGGGAGAGACTTAGAGCCAGGAGATGCTAGGAGCTTATTAGATAGGCTAAGTGACAGGTGGCTGGGTTAGGGCACTGTCTATGGGAATGACAAAGAGATGATGCTGTGGAAACTGGGAGTGGACCCAGTGTGCTTGTGTATTGATTGGCTGTAGTGGGTGAGGGAGAGGGAGATATGGAAAATGACTAGAAACAGAGTGGCAGTTCTGTTAACAAGCAGGGTGTTGGAGGAGTGGCTGGTTTGGCGAAAGACGCAGCACCGGTGTTGGGTATGTTGAGTTCGTGTTGGCAGTGGAGCCTCTAGGGAGAGATGGGTGGGGAAGATGGCTGAACATCTGGAATTGGAGTTTGATGATTTGGGGATCATGCTCACAAAGGTGAAGGTTAAAACTTGGGGTGTGGTTGAGATCTCAATGTCAGAGGGCATGGAGAGAAAAGAACTGAGGATGGAACGGTCATCAGGGGAAGTGGAGGCTGCAAAGGGGACTGAGAGTGAATGGTCAGGTGGTGACAGGACACCAGGACAGTGTGTCATTGCAGAAGGCAAGATGGTAAAGGGTTTCAAGGGGCAGGGGCAGGGGTTAGCAATATCAGTCTGGAGGGAGCATGAGAAGGAGGACTGGGGAAAATCCATGGGCTTGCCAATTAGGTGGCCCCTTTGAAAATCATCAAAGGCATATTTTCAGTGTGTGGTGGTGACAGAAACCAGACTGCAAGAGATTGAGGATGAGTGGGGAGGGAGTGCAGACAGCAAACTAACTATTCTTTTGAGTGATGTTGTGATAAAAGGGGAGAGAACGGTTGTTAAAGTGGGTAACAAGGGACTGGGAACTTTCTTTTGTAAATATAGTAATCATGAGGATGTTTTTAGGCAGAGGAGAAGGAGCGGGGAGGTTGAATATGGCAGGAGGAAGAAGAGAAAGATAGAAGAGAAAGCAAGAAATTGATGAAGGGCAGGTACCAGAAACCTATAGCACACATCACACTTTCTTGTGAGACATTAGAAGCATTCCTGTTACAGCCAGGGACAAAACAAGGGCAAGAATAAGATCTCTAAGGAAATAAGAGGGTATAGGCTTTGGAGCCCAGGGGGATAATTTAGGCTCAGCCAGGAAGTACGATACCTCTTCATGAAATAAGAATAAAGGATAAATAAAGATATGAGGAAATATTGGTGTCATTCTTTGGGAGCTTGAATTGAGAACCCATTTTTTACATTTTGTTATGGAAATAGGAGATGAGTTCCGGGCTCGCTCAATCATTCGTTCAATACAAGCTTCTAAGCTATGCTACTTGCTAGGCTAGGTTTTGGAAAAATGATGGCAGACAAAGCAGGTAAAGGTTCTTGCCCTTATGGCAGATAAGCAAATACATATGTGACATGTCAGGTGGGTGGTAAGTGCCATCAAGGGGAAACAGTGAGTGGTGGGGCGGATGGCTGCACTTTACATAGGATGGTCAGGGAAGGCTTCACCAGGCAGTGAGGGGTTGCACCAGATGGCGCAGCAAGTGCAAAGGCCCTGAGGCAGGAATGTGCCTGGTGTGGCAGAAGCAGAGTGATCGAGGGGAGCCTACTGGGGAATGGGTTGGGGGCAGCTCGCAGAGGGTCTTGCAGGGGGTCATTAAAACTGTGGCTTTTACTCTGTGTGGCATGAGAGGCCTTAAGAAGGATTTGGGCCCCAGAGTGACATCATCTGACTTATTCTAAAACAAGTCAGGCCAGGATGGCAGGCCGGGGGCCAGTGAGGAGGCAGCTGCTGTTGGTCTGGGTGGTGGCTGTGGAGGTGGGGAGAGGTGCTCAGATGGTAGACAGGTCTTGGAGGTGGAACCAATGAGATTGATGGATAGACTAGGTATGGAGAAAACGCTCAAGTTGGGGCCTGAGCACCTGAGGAATGGAGTTGCCCTTTGTTGAGATGGGGAACGGCTGGGAAGGTTTTGCACACGCTAGGTTTGGGGTGCCCACGAAACATCTCAGATGGCTGCGTCCTGAGCCAGCAGTGTGAGGGGGAAATGCTGGAGCTTAGACATGTGGGAGCTGTCAGCATATGCGTGCCACATAGAGCGTGGGGCTGGCTGATCCCTCGGGTGGGTGGTGGTGGTGGTGAGGGTAGGTGAGGAGAGGGCCCAAGTACTGGGTCCTAGAGCCTTCTATGTTTTGAGGTTGCAGAAAGAAGGAGAAACCAGCAAAGGAACTGGCGTGCAGTGGCTTCTGAAGGAGAGAAAGGGTGAAAGGCCATGAGCCCTGGGAGCCAGAGCAGGGGCCGTGGTGGCCACTCATGGGCCCCTGTGGTGTCAGTGGGGGGACGAGAGGATGGCATAGCAGTCCTCCAGTGCAACCCCGCAGGCGCATCTAGGGGACTTTCTGGTGGTGCCTAGTGGCTTTGTGCGGAAGCAGAAAGGCACGAGGGGCTCCCCAGGAAAGAGGACCACTTGGGGTGGAGGGCCGAGGGCTGGGAGGCCAGGATGCTAGGGAGTGTGACCCTGGGGCACAGGCTGGGAGGGTCACCTGGGGCCAGGGAGAGGAGGGGAGGGCAGGGCTGGACCTGCTACCTGCGAGGGTCAGGCGAGGGGGGCACAGGGCCTGAAGTTGCCTGGCCCTAGGGCGACACCTCTTCCTCCACCCTGGGGCTAGAAAAAGAGGGGCATGCTACCCTGCTGGCCAGCAGGAGGCCCGCCTGCCCTTTGGAGAGGCAGGACCCTGGATCCCCCCTCTTCCTGTCTGGTACCTCCCCACCCCCTTGTCCCCCCAGTGTGTGGCCAGACCCTAGACTCAGAACACCAACTCATCTGGATCTTCTTTGTTTTTGTTTTGTTTTGTCTTGTTTAATGCCTCGTCCTCTGCGTTCTGTGTGTCCCCCATGTGCGTCTGTCCCCTGTGCCATTGTTGGGGTGCCTCCCTTGCCTGGTGTTGTCCCTTCCTGCCTGCCTCCCACGCCCTGCCGGCTCCCCTGGGGTGGGGTGTGTAGCCTACAATGCCAAACTGCAGGGCCTCGGGCACAGCGGCAGCTTCCGGCCCTCTCCTCTGCACCGGGCTTCCTCCCTCTCTGGTGGGTCGCCCTCCTGCCCGCTCCCTGTCACGCTCCTCCACCTGCTTTTGAACTCAGTTTCTCTCTCTTCCTCTCCTTTCTCCTGTGTTACTCCTTCCACACCCTTGCCCACACCCTTGCCCACCATCTTCCTTCTCTGCTCACTTTGCCATTGCTTTGTCTTTGCCCTTTCCTCTCTCTCTTCTTCTGTTCTCTTCTTTCCATCTCTGTCTCCTTCTCCTGCACCCCCTTCTCCCTCCACATCCCCTTCTCCCTCCTCCCTCTCTCCAAAACCTCTCTGCCTCCTTTCTGCATGAGCCAGAGCTCCACGTCTGCATGCACACAGGCCTCATGCTAGCCTCGGCCTCGCCCGCTGGGCAACAGGGTCTGGAATAACTGGTCCAGCCTTCATGGTCCCCCGTGGAGACGCGGGCCTTGCAAAGAGGGTGCTCAGTGAGGGCTCTGGATAGCCCAGCACTCCAGCCACCCTAGTCAGACCGCCTGGGCTGCAGGGCCAGGTCTGAGCAGGGCCACAGGGCACACGACAGTGGCGTGGTGCCCCAGGCCCTGCCGTTCTGTCCACTCGTGAGCATAGTGCACCCTGGGGACAGTGTGCTGCCTCTGACTCTGCCCCTAATCTCGGCTCCTCGGACCCATGGCCGGGAGTCAGCAGCCCTGGGTTTTGGTCCTGGCCCTGCCTGTGACCACCTCTGGACCAAGTGAGGCCCAACCTGTGACCCTGGACAAGGCCCTTAACTATTTAGAGCTCGATTTCTGCATTTGAAAAATGGACAGATGATAGCTCTATCTTGCGTATTTTACTCAGTGGTTTGACATGTCCCAGACGCAGTGGTTGCTTCGTCAGGGTCATGTTACTTTGAGGACAATGTTGTCCACTATCATCTACCTTCTGCCTCTTGGACATGCAGGTGCACAGGCTTTGAGCCCTGGGAGGGACTCGCCCCATCCTTTCTCTGTTCCTCTGAGCCTGGCGTCCAGGTCAGGGAGGAGACAGACGGTGCTCAGGCTTGCCCCACACCATGGCCCAGCTGCTCCAGAAAGGGCTTAGGGTGATGGGAACTGTTGACACACAGTGGCAACATGTGACCCCTCTGCAGACCCTCCTCCCAATCGGTGGATGATCGGGAGAGGCTCCAGCAGACGCCCTTTCCCCTCTCCTCTTCCTTTGCCCTTTCCTTGGCCCAGTGGTGGGAGCGCAGTGTTCAGAGGGGCCTGGGGGTTCGGGGTAGGATCTCAGGTCGGGGGTGCACCCTGAGGGGAGCTGGCATGGCTTGCTGTAGGGCTGCTAGTGTGATCGCCGTGTGGCTTTCTGGTGCCCTGGCCCAGCAGGTGGCCTCCTGGATGCCCTCGCTTCTGGAGCCCAAGGCATGCCGTCGGACACCCAGCCCGCCACCTGGAGCTGAGGAATCCAGTCTTTTGGAAATCGGAAGGCTGGAAAGAAGAGTTGGGTCTGTGGGGGTAGCAGTGGCCAGTCTGGGGGGTGTAAGGGAGGCGCGTGATGAAGCCTGACACCAGGGTATTTGTCCCTGTGATCCAGGGACGGTGGGCAGCAATATTCTGCCAAAGTGCTCATACTGATCTGTGCTAGCGCTACAGCTCCCAGAATCGTAGGGCGTACGTGCGTGCGTACCTGCGTGCGTGCGTGTGTATCTGCGCATGCGTGCATGCGTCAGATGGGATGAATTGCCTCAGGTCCACTCATGCCAGGCGAGCCTTGGAGAGAGCTGTCACTCCAGCGCAGCACCATCCTGGGCTCAGAGTGAGGACTCCCTGGGAGTGAGGCTGTGCTGGTGCCCTGCTCCCCCCGTCTGGGGCCCGTCCTTTGGGGTGGTGGGGAAGGCCCAGTGCCGGCCTTGTGTGAAGGAACCCCCTAGAGGATGTGCTCTGGACGTAGGGTATTATGATCCTGAAGACACTGTCTTGCCCTGAGGGCACCCCACCCCTCCTCAGCCTCCCGGGGATGGAGTGCGGGACTCCCCAGCCCGGCTGGGAGGACCTTCCTGAGCCCCCTGCGCAGCTTCTCTTCCCTCCTTCCTTCATTGGCTGCTTCTGGCTGCAGGGTCTCCTGCTGCAGTGGGGGCTGCCATCAAGGCCATGAGGGCGACTCAGGGGCCCCACTAAGTACCCCCATCATCCCAGCATCCCAGTGCCCTTCCTGTCAGGCTGCGGCTGTTTGTGTGTGTGTGTGCGCGCGCGCGTGTGCGCATGCACGTGTGTGTGCACATGTGTGTTTGTGCAGGGCACCTGCCTCTGCTTGTGTGCACGTGGGAGACAGAGGCTCTGAGAGAGGAAATGAGGCCAAGAGACGGAGAAAGTCCTGGGTGCAGGGTTGTGGCGGAAAGGAAGGACATGGGGGAGAAGTCCTACTTTTATTATCCGTCAGTCTCCGGGACATGAGAGAGGGGTGTTCTCTCTTTGACACTGGCTGTCAGCTTGTATCCAGACATCCCGGCTTGGCTGAGGAACAATGGGGCTCTCTTCTCTGCCCTCTACCATGCCAGCCTTTCCTCCCATAGAGAAAGACGAGAGAGAGGGAGCATGGCTCTCCGGGCAGATCTGGGCTTGCCAAGGGGGACAACAGTAGGACACTGTGTTCAAAGAATGTGAGTGGCCCTGACTGGCCACTGGTGCCATGGGGCGCTCTGTGGGGGGAGGGACTGGCCCGTGGGAGTGGAATGAGGGGTCTTCTCCTCCTGCAGAGGGAGGCTCTGCCCTGCAGTGCCTTAGCTCATTGTAGGTCATTCTGTCCATCCCCCTGCCTCTAGTAGAATGCACTCCCACATGCCTATCTGTCGTGATGGAGAGGGGGATCGAGAAGGTGGGATGCACTCCTTCTGATGGCTGGCTGCCTCGTGCCAGGGGCTCACATCCTCCACTGCTGGCAAGCCCCTCCAGCACCCTGGGGTGCTGCTACCATCTGTGGCCCCTGACCATGGACGATGCTCTGGGCAGGTGGAGGAGAATGTTCTCTGTTCCTCCAGGAGATTCAGTGTCTCAAATGGAAACAGACCCATTTTTCAAGGGCAAACATCAGATGCCCAAAGAGGAAGCCAGCCTCCTCTTAGAAAGGCAAAGGGATCTGCCAGAGAGAGGCTGCTGGGGTGGGTGAGCCCGGAACTGAGACCAGCCCTAATGCATTTCTTTTAACCTTGGGGCTGAACGCAGTTCCAAACCCCAAGAGCCTTTCCCGAACGGGCCTCCTTTGTCACAATTATTATTAGAAAATCAATGGCTATGTCTGTTTCTCTCTAATGTTTTGCCAGGAATGAAACCGGCAGCAGCTCTGGTCCAAGCTGCCCAGGAGGCCTGAGTGGGGCAGGGGGCTCGGTGGCAGGAGCAGAGGCGTGGCCGAGGCCAGGGCACCGGCCAGTGTGGTGTGAGCTGCAGACTGCCTTTCTGTTAGATTCTGGGGTGCAGCTCACTCCTCTCAAAGGCACGCCCTTCTTCCCTCCAGGTGGACTCTCCTGGCAGCTCCAAGGTGGGCCTAAAGTGGCCCCTATTTTTCTATTCTGAGGATTAGAGCACTTCAAGGCACAGGGCTTATTTGCTTTAAGGGAAGCAGTTTGTGAATGGCAGGGTGAAGTCCGAGTCCCATTTACTGTTTCTATCTGGGGCTCTTTTTATCAGCTAAGAGAGCAGCAAGGCTGTCTCTGAGTAATAAAGAGCCCAAAGTGGGGATGTGGAGCACCCCCACTTAATGTGCAAGTAGCCAGGCCTGCTACTCTCCCTACAGCCCTGCTGGAGCCCCGAGTGTGGGAGAGCATGAGGACGTGTCTCAGAGGGACAGTGCATGTGTGAGTGAGTGAGTGTCCGCCCGGGCTTGGCAGACGGCAGCCTGCTGTCCATGACAAGTAGGAAGGCTTCCCAGCGGCGCTGTTCACAGTGGCCTTTGTGGCCGCGCCAGGCTGGGAGTGCTGGGGGCCGCCTGGGGCATGCAGTCTTCGCGGTGGACAGCAGAAGATGACTCAGTCTGAACGAGGGTGATTTCTGCCTGGCTGCACTGGCACCTCCCTAGGGGCTGGCAGTGTGTGTGTGTGTGTGTGTGTGTGTGTGTGTGTGTGCACGCATGCATGCACTCACACATGTGCCATGGGAGAGTGTTCCCAGATGTGTGTTCAGGGCCCCAGTCCCATGTGACTTGAGACCTCTGGGGAAGGCAGAGTGGAGAATCTCCTTCAGGAAGATATTTGGGACTCAGAGCCCACCCTTCTGGCTGGGTCTTAGCCTCTGGGACCTGGGCAGCAAGTATTCCAGGATTCTGAGAGGCGGCCCAATGAGGCAGTGGATTCCGAGCCTCAGCCCAGCTGTGAGAAGAGGGGGTGGGGAGGAAGGAGGGTGAGGTTAACAGCACCCCCAGGCCTGCAGAATGGGATTGAGATGGGAAGTGCAGAAAAGCAGATGGAGCATGTGACTTCTTCTTGCTTGCTCTTCAGCCGGGAGGGGCAGGGTGGGATCCTCAGCCATCTGTGGGGCAAGACAGAGGGGTGGGTAGCTAAGGGGTCAGTGTAAGGGGAGTAGGAAGAGGTTTCAAAGGTGCCCTGGATGAAGGCTGGGGAACCCTTAGAGAAGGCAAGAAATACCCTAGGGCCCGGCTGGGGCTCGGGACTCCATAACAAGACTTGGTCATTTCTTTGTTTCTCCTTGAGAGCACCATTTGCAAGATGATGCAATTTAGCTCTTTCCAAGAGCTCTTCCCCATGGGCTTGATGTTGCTGGTTGGTTGATGCAGTTGCCTTGGAGACTCTCTTCCCTTCCCCACCCTGCCTTGTCTGGAAGCTCTGGCCCTCCGCCTCCGGGGTTGGAAGGAGTTGACATCTGTTTCTTGTATCAGTCCTTTGTGCTCTTGGTCCCAGCCCTGTGTGGAGTAGATTCCTGTTGAAGGCTGAGCCAATCTAAGCAGATCTCCCACCCTACAGAGAAAACTGGGGGTATGAGCCACGTTGGGCACAGGAGGGCTGGGGAGGTGCTGGCAGGGGCTGGGTCGGCGACAGGCCAGCCCTGCTCAGCCCCTGAGCCAAGACGGGCTGCCTTTTCTGGGGGCATTGGGCTAGACTGGTCATTTCTTGCACAAATGCTCATTGCTCTCCATGCCCTGATTCCTCCCAGGGGTGCAGGCTCGGGAGAAACAGCCCGTAGAGCCCCCAGCCCCTCTCCGGAGACGGGCAGCCAGTGACGGACAGTATGAGAACCAGTCTCCGGAAGCCACATCCCCCCGTAGCCCCGGGGTTCGCTCTCCCGTCCAGTGCGTCTCCCCCGAGCTGGCTCTTACCATCGCCCTCAATCCGGGAGGGCGGCCCAAGGAGGTGAGTCTGTGAGCTGTGTCCTAGGGCCACAGAGGGTAGGGAGCCCACCTTACATCTCCAGGAACCTGATGGCCACCTTGGCACTGACCTATCAGGAAACTCAGTAATTCGTCCTCCCCTGCATCCTCACCCAAGGTCTCTTCTCCAGCGTGTGGACACTTCCTTCCTTAAATAGCTTCGTGCCCTCACTTCTTACATTAATACTGAGATCGAAGTTCCCTTCTTGATTCCTAAAGAGAGTGGGAAGGATCTGGGCTGATGTAGGTGACCACAGTCTTCAACCTCTAAACCAGATCATATAGACTGACAAATATGTTTTGTCAAACTCCTTTCCAAATATGAGTTTTCTTGAGAGGTTTCATTTTCATGCCAAATTGTTTGCATTTCTGAGACATTTCAGTACTGCGAGGCAGTGGGACTCAAACTTCAGTATGCATTAACAGCCCCCAGGGAATTACTGAACCTGTAGATTCCCAAATCTACCTCCAGAGAGTCCAGCATGATAGATCTGGGACAAGACCCAGGAACCTGCATTTTAAATGTGCACCCTGGAAGATTCAGGTGCAAGTCACAGTCTATGAGATAGTGTACTGTCCTATAAAATCCAGGCTATAGAGTCATTCTGCGTATAGATGGCTTCTGGACATCTGTTCTCTCCTGCCTTTTGGCAGGACCCAAGTTCCCTGCCCCTAGACCCCCTTCTCTTTGGCCCTGTTCTGAAATATTGCCAAGGCAGATGCTCCTGAATGCTGCCCACGCTTGACCATGGCCTTGCAAACAGCCACTCCCTACTCTCTCAGCTGCAAGGAGTCGCTGAGGCTGTAAAGGGCTGGGATCTCCCTTTGACCTCGGCACTTACCTGAGCAGGTGGGGAGTCAGGCCGGAGAGGGGGTTTGTGGGCTGGTTAGCTCTCTGTCCTCCTGCCCCAAGTCTTCTCAAGGCCCCCCCTTTCCTCCTTTGTGTTCCCTGCAGCCCCATCTGCACAGCTACAAGGAAGCCTTCGAGGAGATGGAGGGAACCGCCCCCAGCAGCCCACCACCCAGCGGGGGTAAGACTCCCTGCTGGCTTCTCTTCCCCAGTGTCCCCCAGCCCCTCATCTCGGCCTTGCTGGGGAGCACCCAGGTTTGGGGGTGGAGGAGTGTGCCAGCAAAGTGGGGTGGGGCCGGGGTTTGCAGCTCCTCACCCCGTGGCTCATTCCACACCCTCTTGTCTTCCACTGCCTGTGGCCACCCTCTTCTCGGCCATCCACTCTCACACATCTGTGCGTGCCAGGTCTTGCGCTCCAGACTGATGGGCTATGGGACCCTGGGCTTGTTCAGGGTCTTTTTACCTTCTACGCTCAAAAGACCCCATCCTCGCGTGATTCTTTGTGATTTGACTTTGACCTTGTTTCTGACCCCCATTTCTGTCTGCATCCAGCCACCCCTTCTGTTCCAGGCAAGCTAGGGAAGAAAGACGGAGAGAAAGGCCCAGGACCCTGGGACTGCAGGGCCCCCATCTTGTCCATCCTTGGCCTCCAGGCAGGGGCATTTAGTCTGCAGCCCCCAGTACGCTCACTGGGGAGGCAAATCTGTAAAGGACAGAGATATGTCCCCCAAAAGACGAGACCTGGATGATCCTGGGAGTGGGGACAGCGTCCCTTTTAAAGGAGGAGAGATGAGAAGAGGAGCTAGAGGAAGGGGTGGTGGGGAACAAAGTGAGGGAGAAATACCAGGCGTGGGGGCTTGGGGTCCCCAGGGGAGGCCTGATCAACATGGAGGGAGAGACGGGCAGTGCTCAGGGCCATGCTGTCTGGGAGGCAAGGGTGGGTGAGGAGGGGAGAGCCACCCTCCTCATGCATCCCCCTGGGAGCTGGCTGTCCTGTACTGGAGAGGAGTGTGGCCATGCTACATGGCCCATGTGCCAGCAGAACTATTGTTGGTGCCACCTGGGGCACGAGCAGGCCGACCCCAGGACTGGTCGGCAGCCCCTGGAAGCAGCGGCTCTCCCTGCAGCAGCGCTGTCCAAAGGAAATGTCATCAGAGAGCATTCCTCATTTAAAATTCCCTAGTAGCCACATTAGAAAATATAACAGGAAACTGGTGAAATTAATTTTAATAATATTTCTCTTAAATCCAAAATATTCTCATTTCAGTGGGCAAACAAATCAACATAAAACTATTGAGCTATTTTATGATTTTTTAAAAATCTAGAAAGAGACTGGTGAGATTAATTTTAATGTTTTATTTAACTCCAGCCTAAAATGTTATCATTTCAGCATGGAATCAATGTAAACAGTGTTGAGCTACCCTGCATTCTTTTTCACACTGTTACGCAGACAGCGTGTCGCAGGTCTGCTGGCCGTGCTCCAAGCACGGCAGCGTGGCCGCCACGTCCGCGGCACAAACCTAGAGCAGTCTGCTCAGGAGCCGGCTCTGCAGCCTCTTGTGACTCGGTGGGACCTCTCTCCCAGGCCTTCCATCCTGACACCTGCTCCCACGCGCTGTCGGGGCCAAGCAGCCCAGGCTTGGACATCCCTGGTCTGGGTTGGCAGCCGTCCACACTGTGTTAGAATCGAGTTTTGCCTTCTTCTCTTCCCTGCTTGGCCGGCCGTGGATGCGTCCCTGCGGGGAGGATAAGTTAGAGGTTTCATAAATACTCAGCGCTGGGGAGAGAAGACAGAAGGCGGAGAAATGCGAGGAATTTTTCTCTCAGGAAGCCAAAGGCTGGCTTGGCCTCAGTGCCGCCCACTTCTGTGCCTCAGCGGGGCCAGGCTGCCTGGGAACTGGGGCAGCCAGGACCTCGGGAGCTGGAGGTGGTGGGGGAGAGACCCCAGCCCTCTCTCGTCCTCTCGCCCCCTCCACCTCCTCGCACGGGCCCACCTGCGCCTCTGCTGCACCTGCTGGGTGGACGTGTGCACACTGCGGGCCGGGGCTGCTCGAGGTAGTCCCGTGAACAGTGGCTGCTGAGGCTGGGCACGTTCTTTTATAATTAATAACGTTCAACTCTGCATTCATCTGACAGACATTAACAAGTGCTTGATAGGTGTCCATGAGCAAGACACCGTGTTAGGAAACGGGGTGTGGAGGAAATGAGGGTGCGGAGGTGGTAGAAACTGAATCTGTGTGCATATGTGTTCGTGTATAAAGAGGGAGGACGGACAGACAGAAACGAAGGCCTACACCTACCCTGTACCTGCAGGTGTATATTTGTATGCGTTTGTCCTTATGCTGTACTGGGCCATTGGACAGCTACGGACAGAGAGAGGGTGGAGCGCAGGGTGGGGGGCCACCCATCTGGACCCCTGCGCTGTCTCCCTGCTCCCACCTGCATGTGGTCATGCACCTGCCCGTGCACAGGTACATTTTGTATGTTGCATTGAGAGAGTATTTTGTTGTCGTTGCTGGTTTCCTGTAGGTCTCACTTCTTTTGGGAAAAGCAGGAGTGGCCAGGGAATGGTGTGGAGCTGCTGGGTGGTTCCTGGGTGTCTGAGGGCCACAGTTAGGCTATTGAGGCCCTTGGGAGGCAGGGAGTGTCCCCAGGGGCTTTGGCCTCTGCCGGCTCCGGAGATCACTGTCAGGAGACACAGAGCTCATTTTTGACTTCACCTTGGAAGAGTGTTGGGAGACGTGGCAGCTGCCACCGAGACAGCTCGTGACTAGGCATAACAGCCACCCTGTGGGTCAGCTCAGTGTCTGGCCAGGTGCTTGGCTGCTGGGAGAAAGCCTGAGAGCCCTTTCTGACCTTGTGTGTTATGTGACACTTGTAACCCAGATGGGCCGCCTGGGAGGAGCTGGGCTTTGCACAGGGAATGGGTGCTCCCGGCCAAGGACCGCGGGCCCCTCCTCCTTCCAGAGCACTGAGGTTTGGTGGGGACAGAGCCCCACACTGAGAAGTTCTCTCTTCCTGTGATTCATGAGGGACACACAGCTGAGGGCCGGCCCGGGTCTCAGGGTTGGCGTGGTCCAGCCTGCGATCTCAGTCTCTGCCTCTGCCCTTCACGGCGTGTGTCATCCTGAGCCTCCATTTTCTTTTGTTCTCCTCCGAGTCCATCCAGTGCAGGGTTTAAGGGGACTCTGGGCATGTGTGTGTTTGGGGCTTGGGGAAAGGGACAGGGGGAGGGAAGAGAGAATATGTCGGGGAAAGTCAGGGACGGTCCCAGAAACCTGTGCGTGCATCGTATGCTGTGGCAATGCAAAGGGATGGTAGGGACGGTCCCCAAGGCTCTGGGGTAGAAATGATTCTCTCAGGGCTGAGGCCAGGGTCAGGACAAGGGCGCCGTTGCCTCACTCTTCCCCTCTCTCCTGTAAACTGCTGAAATGCGGAGGCCCCTGGAGACAGGACAGGGGCAGCGGAGCCAAAGCGGCCTGGCACCACCTCCTGCTGCCCAGCCCTCGCCGACCCGTGCCCTCCTCGCATGGCGGGCCTGGCCCTCCTGCCCCCGCCTGCCTCTCACTTCATGTGTCTCCTCTATTCTTTCTGGCACAGTGCGATCCCCGCCGGGTCTGGCCAAAACACCCCTGTCTGCTCTGGGCCTGAAACCCCACAATCCAGCGGACATCCTGCTGCACCCCACGGGTGGTGAGTGACTGGCTGGGAGGGAGGTGGTCCTGGACCAGGGCCTTGGGATCTGGTCAGCAGCTGGCTTTGTGCCCACAGGAGCTCCCGCCCGGGCGGGGGCTCTCTGTGCAAAGGTTGGGGGTGACAGCCTTTGCAGCCTTCCCCTCCTTTGACTGGTGGCGTCTGCGCCTCTCCCAGCCTCCTTTGACTCAGAGATGTGGAGGCCTGGCTCAGTGTCCTTAGAGTCGGTCAGGTCTCTGCTAGAAGCCTGGTGCCCCATGTCCCTGGTGCTCAGGCCCTTGTGTACACGCACATGTGTGCACATGCACACCTACGCATGTGTGCATCAGAGGCCAGGCCACTGGCATTTGGGAGTTCTCTGGTCTGCGTCTTCTGGCCCACAAAACACTGCCTGAGAAACCCTTGACCAGGCAGCAGCCACCACTGTCTGCACCTCCTGGCCCTCTTGCCTGTGGGAGGACCTGCCACTCTCCTCGCCTGTGCTCCTCCCCTGTCCTCCTCCCCTGTCCATTCACGGCAGCATCTTGCTCTGCCGCTGCGGACAGGAGCCCCAGCTCTGGGGGCTGAGGCAGGAGGAGGACTGGGGCATGGCTGCTCCTCAGCCTCCCTGAGGCCACACATGGTCCTGGTTGTGAAGTGGAAGGTGGGGCCCTGGTCCTGTCCCGGAGAAAGTCTCCTCCCAGTGGATACCACCCAGGCTCACAACTCCTACTCCTCCTTCCGATGAGGGGTCAGGGGGAGGCAGAGGGAGTCCCTGGGCCCTTAGCTGCAGGTTGGAGCTGGCTGAGCCCAGAAACTTACTCTCTAGGCTGGTTTAAGGGCTGCGTGGGGACTTTGGGGTCAATTTCACTATTTTTTTTTAGTCACCAGAAGAGTGATCCAGCCAGGTAGGCAGGCAATGGCATGCACTGAGACCCACAGAGACACAGGGCGGGGCACAGTCTCCCACTGGAGTGTCAGCATGGCCGGGGACACTGAGTCACCGGGGAGCTGGCGGAAGGGGTTGGGGGCTGCTCGCACCAGCCAGCACACTCCTGCCTGAGGCTCGGCCCATGTGAGCCCCGGGCACAGGGCTGCGAGAGAGTCGGGCTCCGGGGAGCCAGGGTCTCGCCTGGGCGCTGGACCTCGGCCCTCCGCTCGGGCTCCTCTGTGGAGAGCCCCGCTCCACCCAGCCTCACCCCGGCTTTCCCGCCTCCCTTTTCTCAGCGAATTCTCTTTCTCAAGAATAATCCCTGTTAATCAACCTCTCTCTCTCTTTCCTCTGCTCTTCCTCTCCTCTTCAACACCTTCCTCTCTCCTGCCTCTCCTCTCCCACCTCTCTTCTCGCCTCCCCTCAGTGGAGGACGAGGGGGAGGTGGCGGTCCAGCTTCCCGAAGGTAAGTGCCGGCCGCCGTGTGCTGCTTGCTTCCGCGGTCCGGGTCAGGGCATGGCTTCACGTGGAGCTTGAGAAGGCTGGCGCGGCCACCCTCTTTCCTGACTGGGTCTCAGGTGACCAGGCACACAGCCTTCCTGTCCCCAGCCCCTGGCGATGAGATATCCCCCTGGGCACGGCCTGTGTCCCGAGCGGGGAGCCAGTAGCCACTGGGCACAGGTTCAGGCACAGCCATCGTCCGGCACTGGTGCAGCGCTACCTTGTGGTCAAAAACACCCCTCCTGTGGCTTCCTCTCCCGGTGCCATCTGCTCCAGCCTGCCGGGGTGCCGCCACCCACAGAGGTAGACCGGGAGGGGGCTCCCATTCCCTTTCCCGGGGTGCGTGCCACAGGCATATCTCGGAGCAGGGATTCTCAACCTCCGCATTTTGGCCTGAGTAACTCTGTGTGCTGTAGGATGTCGCAGTGTCCCTGGCCTCTACCTGCTAGATGGCAGTTACACTCACCCAGTCGTGACAATAGAAAGTGCCGCCATCATTGCCAGTGCTCCTGGGGGGACAGTCGCCCCTGGTTCTGAGAGCTCCCATCTTAGAGCCACGATTTGTCCTCGTGAAGCCTCTACCTGGCTTCATATAATAGAGAAAGTACTGTGTCTGTCTTTCTGGGATTTGGGACACAAAGTGGGGATTTCAGGAAATCTGTGGACTCACTCCCTACAAAAATGCAACAGGACACCCATGCACATAATTTTGAAAAACAGTCGCAAAGAGTTGGCATGTCTGTGGATCCCAGCTTAACCCCTGGTTTAGATGGGCCAGCACTGAGCACCGGGAAGCAGAGGGCAGGTGTAATCGGGTGAAAGGCCTTAAATGCACGAGGAGCCGAACTCGATTGAGGACTCAGGGCAGCAGGTGAAACAGAGGGGTGCAGCCTGGGTGGGAGGCCAGTGTATGGCTCTGGGCACCAGTGTCCCCATCTCCTCCAGGAGGGGTGGGACGCAGTGGGAGCTGAGGTGTTCTGGGTTAGGTGTTCTGACCTCCCACCTGGGCCCTGGGCCCGTGTGGCTTGGTTTCTTTAAAGACTGGCTTTCTTAGGCCCATTTCCCAGTTTCCTTTGCACTTAGCACCTTGATCTTCCAACCGCCAAAGTGGGCACGGCCTGTGCCTCTCTAAATCTGACGTCACCCAGGTGAGATGGTTGGGCTTCCCAGAAGGCTTTGCCTGCTTCTACCCAGCCAGAGTTCGGGCAGCAACATCAGGCCGCTTGTGGGTTGGGGAGCGAGACAACTCCCAGCAGCAGACCCTGGATGGGTGGGCCGCAGCAGGCTCCCTCTGCTGGGAACGGCCCTCCCTGCTCCTCTGCAGCCTCCTGCCTGGGGAAAGGGCTTTCTCCCAGGCTGGAAGCCAACCGCTGGTTCCCGACCACCGGGCAGTGGGGCTGGGAGGGGGGTCTAGAAGAGATCGGAGACTGGGGCCACGTTCCCGTGCTTCCCACGCCAGAGCCCGCAGTAGGCTCTCAGCTCTCCTCCAGGCTGGCTGGCTTGAACAGCCTGGGGGGATCTCGAACACTGTCCAGCGGGAAGGTCCAAGGTCCCACAGGCTGATGTGCCCTGGTGATTGTCTCCTGCTTTGGGGTGACTTCAGAGGTGCAGGCATTGATGGAACCGAGCTGAGATCTGCCAGTCCTGCCTCAGGAATGGCTCAGCTACAGGGCCCCAAGTCCTCCAGCTGGAGCCACCGAGTTTGGAGGGGAACTGAGGGGTTCCCCTCCAAAGAACTGAGGTTCTTAGGGATCAACTCAGCCACACTCATCTCTGTCACAGATGTGGAGCTGAGGCCAGCCTTGTGGGTGGGGGAGGGGAGGGTCTGCCCAAGGTCACGGTTGGGAGGCAACAGAGCCAGACTGGAGTTACTGGGCTCCTGTCTCTTGGTCAAGTGGCTGTTTCAAAGCCCTTCTCCTGCCTCCAGGCACCATGCCCCGGGATTCCAGCGTGGGAGGCGGAATGGAGTCGGAATCGCTGCCGTGGCCTGGGGATGGGTCGGGGGTGGGCAGGGAGCGAGGCTGTGAGCGCCAGTTCCTTGTTTCCTGACTCATGTGCCCCTCCCGGGTCAGACTAAGCGAATTCTTTGCTGACCCTCCGAGGCTGTGCTCGACTTCCCTGCCGACGCTTTGAGGGGAAATGCAGAAAAAGGTCTGTGAGGACAAGTGACCAGAGACAGGGTTATTCAGCTGGGGGGAAAGAAAACCTGGGGGTGGGGGGAAGGCTGCTTGTCTAAGCCAGTGTGCCAAATACTTCGCATTCATCCATTCTTTTACTCATTGCTTCACTGATTCGGGAAGCATTTCGTGCACCTACTGTGTGCCGGGCACTGTGCCAGACTCTGGGGATATACGCACGTGTGAGGCGGGTGGGGAGGAGGGAGAAGCCAGCAGACATTTCAGCGTTAGTTAGAAGCGCTGAGTGGGGCAGGAACAGGGTGTTGGAGGAGGGGCGAGTGGTCCAGTCTGAAGGTTTGAAATTCTGACTGTCGAGCTCCTGGATCTGGTATCCAGGGGTTTCTGTAGTGTGTCTCTTCTCCCCAGGCCACCCTTTTGCTTAGGGTGGGCAGGGCCCCTTCTCTGCAGGCCAAGAGCCTTTCCTGGGGGAGCAGAAAGGCCTTTCAGGGTGTGGATGAAGAGCTGACAGTGCACGGGCCTGCCGGAGCCAAGCCACCCTGGGCTGCAGCTGCTCTCAGCCGCCAAGAGCCACTTGGCCTGGGTTTGGGCTCCCGGAATGTTCTCCATGAAGCACCCTCCCTGACCCCACCCTCCTGCCCTTCCCAGCTCCCATTGCCTCTGGGTGCAGCTGCACCGGGATTGGAGGAGAGGACGAAAACAGCAGGAGAGAGGGTGCCAGCGAGGGTGGGGGGCAGGAATGGGCACAGCCGGAGCTGGCCAGCAACAGTGCGGCTGGTTCTCTACAGGGGCTGAGAATAGCAAGGATGAGTTATTAATAGGAGGAGCTTTCCCGTCTCTTCTCACTCGATCCTAGCTGGACAGGTGGGTCGTCTCATTCCCACTTTACAGATGAGAAAACTGAGTCCTAGAAAGGCTCTTGTGAGTGAGAGAAGGGGGAGGCGGCCTGCAAGTAGAAGTATATTGCCTTGAGGTGGAGAGGAGAGAAAAAGCCAAGGAGTAGACAGAAAAGGAAGCATTTTCAGTGTGCAAATCTGAGTCTGAGAACTTGGGAGCGCTAATGTCTGGAGAGGAACTCAGGAAATCAAACAACGTCCCAAAGGTCCTGCCTGCTCTGGGTGCTGAGGAGCGGAGACTGCACAGAAGGACTTCCCTCATTTCTCACTGAGCTGGGGCTGCAGGGGCAGGCAGACCACCTGACCGAGGAAGAGGATGCAGTGGGAGGGGAGGAAGGAAGTGGGGGTCCAGGTGAGGGCAGGGCCAGGTGGGCTGGCTCTCTGAGTAGCCGTGGCTAGGCTGGCCACCCAGCACGCTAGGGCGCTTCCTGACATCGTGGGGGGAACACGTGCCGCTGCTTCTCTCTGGGTAAGCAGTCCTGTCCCCCAAGTGCAGACTCCCAGTCCTTTGAGAACTCTTCTGGTATTCTGTGGTTTAGGAGCTGAGGGGTGTCGGGAGGGGGCCAATGGGACTGCTGGCTTATGACCTTGGCTCTCCTATGGCCATCTCAGGGTTTCTCATATACTGTCCCCTCGAACTTCTGTGCAAACTTACGCTCAGGTGCCCAGGCTTCAGCTCAGGTCGCTGTATTTAGGCTGGAGCAGTTCGTGGCACCCAGCCTTGACTAATGGCAAGCAGGCCAGTTGGGATCAGGTCCCAGGCTTGGCTCTGTCCTGACTGTGGGATGGGGTGTTGTGGCCCACCTTGTCTCAGTTTTACTGGTGTTAGGAGGGGTGCTTTTTGTAAAGGGGTAGAGGATAGGGTAACACAAGTTGCTTACCCAATGTATGAGTCGGGGTTCTGCTGGAAAACTGATGGTTCATTCCAGTGGGGCAACCAAGGAGAGTGTAGTGGATTATTAAAAGGTCTAGACAGACCAGTGAGGGATGGTGACGCATCTGTGTGCTCTTGGCAGAGCGGGGGCCCTCCCACCTCCAGGCCTGAAGGAACCGGGAGAGAGCTGGAGGGGAGGGTGGCTATGGGAGCTGTGGCTAGGGGCACGTGGGTAGGTGAGCCCTGACCTTCTCTCCTCCCTCCCTCTCATCTCCTGCCGGTCCCAAAGGCAAAAGCCATCTGCAGCCACCGAGCAAGGGGTACTAGGTGACACAGTAGGTAAAAGTTGGCCCTCGGGGATGTAGACCAGGGTAGAGAGTGCATCAGGAGGACGACAGTGGGTAGGAGAGGAGCACAGACCTTCAGTGTCAACTTGAGCTCCAGGGAATGAGAGGGATGGCTTGCCATGTCGTTTGCAAGTCTGTGCATGAGACAGCCTCTCATGGTCCGTTCTCACAAGCTGGGGTACCGCCCCAGGGCAAGGAGCCAGTCCCCCAAGACTGAAGTTCTCAGCTCCCTGATTCTCGTGGCCCAGATGATGGTCATCTGTGCAGTGGCCAAGGACAGGCGTGGGCCAGACTGCCTGGCTTCCTAGGCCTCCTCTGCCACTTGCTAGCTGTGGCTTGGGCAAGGTACTTGCAACCCCAAATCCTACTCTCCTTGTATAATTGTTTGCCCTTTTTATCATTACAAATAACCATATGGAGTTGGCTCTTCTTTGGCTGATGGGCTGGAGTGCCAGGTAGAGCCGGCTCTGGGTGTCCCATGCCGCTGTGGGCCTCCTCTAGGCCACCCAGAGCCAGCACGGTGAGTCTGGAGACTGTGGTACTGGTGTCCACAGCCATTGATTGCTGTGTGTGCTGGGGCACATTGCTCCACCTCTCTGGGCTGAGGAGACAGGTTAGATCAGGGGTGAGAAACTATGGCAGCTGGCCAAATCCCCACCACCACCTCTTTTTGTAAAGAAAGTTTTATTGCAACGAAGCCTCACCCATTGATTGACCTATCGTCTATGTGTGCTTTCATGCCATAATGGCAGAGTTGCGTAATTGTGACAGAGACGGTCTGACCCACCAAGCCTAAGGTATTTACTATTAGGTCTTTATCAAACATGGTGCTGCCCTGGTCAGAGGATCTGCACGTTGTCTTCTAGTGCCAGCGGGTCCCTGTGCATGGATGGCGCAGAAGCCGTGCCTTTGTGGATTTGGCCTGGGGCTTCTGCGAGGTGGGTGGTGGCCTGGGCTGGTGGAAGGAGGCTTTTGAGAAGGCCTTGCGGACTCTTCCCACGTGGACTCCAGCTTTGGGTGCTGAGGTGGCTGGTTCTACATCACCCTGTCCCTGTAACAGACTGTCCCACACCTGCCCCTTTGCAGAAGTCCTGCCCCAACCCCATCCACTGTCGCTGCTGTTGGTTGGAGGCAGCTCTGCATGGAGGCCAAAGACAGGCTGGCGGGCTCTGGCTGGAGCTGTTCGCAGACCCCACCGCAGCCCCCGGGACCTGATCTTTAAAGGGCCCCGGGCTGAAGGACTGTCCTCTCCTGGCACCCAGGGTGGCCTCTGGACCTGGGTGTAGTGTGTCAGGCCTGGGGGCCACCTCAGAAGCCACACACGGGAGGCTGTGTTCCTATGCAGTGCGAGCCTATGACCAGGCACCTTCCAAATGAAGATTTTCTTTGGGGTAAGGGGAGGGAGGTTTCATTTTGGCTGGCTAGACCCTGGGCCTCTCACCCCGAGGGGCTTGGACGAAGGGGCTCTTCTCCACCTCAGCGCCCCTCACAGTTCTGGCCTCTCCCCAGGGCTGCACAGACTCTGGGCACTGCTGGATGAGACAGGGAGGGACAGGTTTGGAGGTGGTGGGGATGTCATGTCATCTCTCTCCATTCAAGTGCCCTGCTCCTGCTTCCTGTTTACTATGGAGTTAGTTGGTTGTTTTTTTTTTGTTTTTTTTTTTTTTTTTTTTTGAGTCAGAGTCTTACTCTGTTGCCTAGGTTAGAGTGCCATGGCGTCAGCCTAGCGCACAGCAACCTCAAACTCCTGGGCTCAAGCAATCCCTCTGCCTCAGCCTCGAGTAGCTGGGACTACAGGCATGCGCCACCATGCCCGGCTAATTTTTTCTATATATATTAGTTGTCCAATTAATTTCTTTCTATTTTTAGTAGAGACGGGGTCTTGCTGTTGCTCAGGCTGGTTTCGAACTCCTGACCTTGAGCGATCCGCCTGCCTCGGTCTCCCAGAGTGCTAGGATTACAGGCGTGAGCCACCGCGCCCGGCCTGGAGTTAGTTTGATCTGCCCTCAGAGGCCGTGGGGGAGTCAGGCACTGTAGATCCTGGGCAAGTCTCCAGGCCTCAGTGTCTTCATCTGTAAAATGGCCTTTCTGGCACTTGCCCCACCCCCCTAGGTGGTTCTGAACACCAGGTGGGGTGATGTGTGGAAAGATTGTCTGTAAACTGCCCGGTGCTATGGAAACGCCAGAGGTGGGTGCTGGGATGCCTGGCTCTGTGTGGGGATGAGCTCCATGCCGTGGGTGTCCGGAGGAATGCGGAGTGTGTCTGGCAGAGGTGGGTGGGCGTGTCCTGGTGTTGAAGGGGCAGAGAGTGCGCGCGGCCCTGCTGGCGGTGACTCACCACACAGGCCTGTTGCCAGGTGCGCAAGCCCGTCTCTGACTTCTGGGCCCGTGTGAACCCTGGTGCCAGCCCGAGACAGGGGCGAGGTGGGGCCGGAGCGCTGGGCCCACTGTCAAGCCCCAGCCTTGAGCAGCGCCTGGGGAACCTAGAAGGGCCTGGGGGTTGGATAGTGTGGTCATTGAAGGAAGGGAACAGCTAAGGGGGATGCACCTCTGGACAGACGTCCTTGTTCTTGGAGGGAGGATTCCCCGATGGCCCTGGGGTCCGTTTTGGGGTGGCCCCTCTGAGCATGGCCCTGGTTACAGGTTGCTGCAGGGCATGGTGGGTACTGGAGGTGGGAGCCCCAGGACGGTGCTCTTTGCGTCCTCTGGGGCTGTCCCTGTGCTCCTTCCCTGGCTGGACCGTGTCCCCGGGCAGGTCGGGTGGCGTCTCTCTGCACCTCTGTGCACCTGCGCTCAGAGTCTCCGTGCCCTTGCCCCTTCCAGAGCCCCGCAGCTATGTCGAGTCTGTGGCGCGGACAGCGGTGTCTGGACCCCGAGCTCAGGACCCTGAGCCCAAGAGCTTCAGCGCGCCAGCTGGCCAGGCCTATGGCCATGAGATGCCCATGAGGAATGGGACCCTGGGCGGCTCCTTCGTCCCCCCCAGCCCCCTCTCCACCAGCAGCCCCATCCTCAGCGCCGACAGGTAAGCCAGGAGCAGGCGGTGGGCAGGGGGTGAGAATCCAGGGCTGGGAAGGGGTGGGCGAGGCCCCTTGGCTCTGCTTAGGGTGTGGGTGGGCAGTAATCACACGCAGATGGCGGCACCTGCAAACCACTCCATCAAGGCACGTTGAGAGCACATCCTCTGAGTGCTGCATCCTGTGTGGGGAGCCAGGCTGAGTGAGCATAATTCCCAGGATGCTTTCAATTCCACCACCCAAAACTGTGCAGGAAGGAGTGAATGGTCCCAAGGTGAATGCGGCAGACTCTTCCCAAATTGAAAATCTACCGACCGTAATGACTAGTACTTAAGTGGGCACTTTTGGGGCGCCAGGCACTTTGCTAAGTGCTTCATACAGTCACTTAATCCTCTCAGTGTTCCTAGGAGAGCTGAGTGCCCCCAAGAACGCCCCTTCACCACATGCCATCTGATGTTCCACCTGCCCTCTCTCCCTAGCACTTCAGTGGGGAGCTTCCCGTCCGGGGAGAGCAGCGACCAGGGTCCCCGGACACCTACCCAGCCTCTGTTGGAATCTGGCTTCCGTGCCGGCAGCCTGGGGCAGCCCAGCCCTTCAGCCCAGAGAAGCTACCAGAATTCTTCTCCCCTCCCGACGGTGGGCAGCAGCTACAGCAGCCCCGACTACTCACTGCAGCAATTCAGCTCCTCTCCGGAAAGCCAGGCCCGGTCTCAGTTCAGCGTGGCTGGCGTCCACGTGGTGCCTGGGAGCCCTCAGGCACGCCACAGGACAGTGGGCACCAACACTCCCCCGAGTCCCGGCTTCGGCCGGCGGGCCATCAACCCTAGCATGGCTGCCCCCAGCAGTCCCAGTTTGAGCCACCGCCAGGTGATGGGTCCGCCAGGCACTGGTTTCCATGGTAACGTGATCTCCAGCCCCCAGAGCAGCACAATGACCACTCCAGGGAGTCCCAGCCTAGGCCGGCACCCAGCGGGGGCCCACCAGGTTCCCAGCCTCCACAGCAGTGTGGCCACCACTCCGGGGAGTCCCAGCCTGGGCCGGCACCCTGGGGCCCACCAAGGCAACCTGGCCTCCGGTCTCCATGGCAACGCAATAGCCAGTCCTGGAAGCCCCAGCCTGGGCCGTCACCTGGGAGGGTCTGGATCTGTGGTTCCTGGCAGCCCCAGCTTGGACCGGCACATGGCTTACGGTGGCTACACCACCCCTGAGGACCGGAGACCCACGGTGTCCCGGCAGAGCAGTGCCTCCGGCTACCAGGCTCCTTCCACGCCCTCCTTCCCCGTCTCCCCGGCCTACTACCCCGGCCTGAGCAGCCCTGCCACCTCCCCGTCACCGGACTCAGCAGCCTTCCGACAAGGGAGCCCGACGCCGGCCTTGCCAGAGAAGCGGAGGATGTCCGTGGGAGACCGGGCCGGCAGCCTCCCCAACTACGCCACTATCAACGGGAAGGTGTCCTCGCCCGTCGCCAGTGGCATGTCCAGTCCCAGCGGCGGCAGCACTGTCTCCTTCTCCCACACTCTGCCGGACTTCTCCAAGTACTCCATGCCAGGTGGGCCTCTTCGCCTCCACTTCCACCTCTCCTGCTGACAGATCAAGGCCAGGGGTTAGGATATCTTTGCCGGTTCCCTGTTCTGACATTCCCTCAACAGACAACCTCGGGTGAATCACTGCCTTCTGGCCTCAGTTTCCCTATCTGTATAACAGGAGCTGGAGGTGTCCTCAGAATAAGTGTGCATGGTCATGGGTGCTATGATGAGGATGTGGATGCAGATGGGGGGGTGATGGTGGAAATAATAACACAGTGAACGGTATTACTGTCCTGACTATCACCCGCATTATAGCCACCGCCACTTATTGAGCACATGTTGTGTGCCAGGCTCTGAGCTAAGTACTATCTCATTTAACCCTCACAGCCACCTGGTAAAGTAAGTATTATTATCCCCATTTGACAGAGCGAGGCTTACTGTCATTTGCTCAGTGGCATACAGTTAGTAAACGGCAGAGCCAGCCTCCGTACCTTTTGCCACCCCCATGGTCCTGCATCACTCGTAATAGACCTGGCGGCCAGGTGTGGCATGGCCAAGGCTGAGGGTTGGGTGTTCTCACTGGAGTCCAGTTTCTTTAGACCTGGCTTCACTGAGGCCTGTGCTGGTTTGTGCAGTGCGTTGTTGACCCATCACCCAAACTTGGCGTCTGTGCCTCTACTTAGAGAGCTCATCATCTGAACGCAAAGTCAAGGCTTCAGCCGGTCTGCAGCTTCTGTGGCAAACCTCACACGTGATCGTAAAGTGGCCCTGGGGCGCTCGTTGTTCGAGGTAGATTTAGACTGGTTCAGGCAGCTGGGATGGGTCCCAGCTACCCATATCCTCCCTGTGTCACTCCCAGTCCTGCCCTGAGCCTGCCAAGCCGGGACACCTAGAGTGACCCCGCACCCCCTGTTTCCTGCCGCCCACGGGGGACATCTGGTTCCCAGCCCTTCTCCTTGAAGGATGCAAAACTTCTAGTAGTTGGGACACTTCCTGTTTCCCACCATCTTCCCTGCTTAAAATAGCCTTTGGAGTCAACACAGGAAGGCACATAGGACTGCAGCCGCCTCTGACAGCTCGTTAAACAGGCCCCAGCAGCAGCGGGGCCTGGGGCTTCCGAGCAGGGGGAGGCAGCTGCCGGCAGTTGCAGGGCCCAGCTGCCTAACCCAGAGGCCTTCTTCAGCGCACAGCTGCCAGCGAAGGAAGCTGACCTCTCCCTCAAGGTCCTGCAGACACAAACCCCAGAAGCCTAAATGAGTGCAACTCACTAGCTGAAATTAACTAAGCTCCGGAGACCAGTCCGTGTCTCCCATCTGCTCCCTTAACTGTACAGTGTCTGTAGCACAGGCTTCTGTCTCTGAAGACGGGAGAGGAAAAATGTGGAATTAGAATATTCCTTTTTCCATCTTCTTTTCTTCTTCCCCCAGCCACCTTTCTTTTTGTTTTCTTTGGTGCCGAGAGATGAAGGAGGGGGGCAAGGGCTGCTCGTGCTGTGACTAGACAGGGAGATGGGGCATGGCTGGGGCTGAACTGGGGGCCACAGCCTCTTACCTGAGAATGCTGCCCTGGTCACCATGCGTGACTTGGGCGAGCCACTTCCGCTCTCGGACCCTCTCTTCATTTGTCGAATCGAGCAGCTGGGCTCTGGCCTGTCCAAGCTCCATCTAGAACCTAACGTTCTCTGACAGATTCCAAGGTCTGTGCACTGGGGGTGGGGGACCTGTCTGCCCCAGAAGAGGGGTGCGTGGCACACAGCAGATGGCCTCTGGGTTCTGGGCCCGCCGCCTCCCCTGTGTCCCAGGTTGGGAGTGAGTTTTTCCCCTCGAGGTGCGGAACACAGGCTGTCCCTGTGGGAACTGAGGAGGGGGCCGGAGAGAAGGGAGCAGAAATGGATCTTTCTGCCTCACCTTCATGGTGGTTGTGCTGACGTTAGGAAACTGAGCCTATGGAGAAAATTCTAGAACAGGTGTCTTAGCCTGTGGGAGAGAAGCTGCAGGAAAGATTTAGTGGGAATCTTCTAGGGAAAGGGGGAGGTGGGGTGGTGGAAGGGCTCCCAGTGGGCTCCACGTCACCAGGACAGCGGGGTTAGCGGGGACACTGTGGATGGACGAGAAGGCCGCTCAGGGCTCCCGGCGCTTGTTCTTGTGGTGCTGGTGGGGACTGGCTTTCTGTGCCGGTTTCCTGGGGCTGCTGTAACAAAGGCCCACACGCTTGGTGGCTTAACATGACAGAAGTGTGTCCCTTCCCAGTTCTGGAGGCTGGCAGCCCCAAATCAAGGTGTTGGTGGGGGCGATTCCTTCCTGAGCCTCTCTCCTGGCTTCTCGTGGCGGCGGCCGTCCTTGGGGTCCCATGGCTTGTAGACGCGTCACCCAGTCTCTGCATCCTCACCTGGCTCTGTGCCGTGTGTCTCTGTTTCTTCTCCTCTTCTTCAAGGACACCAGTCATATTGGATTAGGGCTCACCCTCCTCCAGCGTGACCTCGTCCTAATTTGTTCACATCTATGAAGACCGTTTCCAAATAAAGCCACATTTTCAGGCATGGGGGGTTAGGACTTTAGCATATCATTTTTGGGGGACACATTTCAACCCATAACACTTTCTTTTCCTCTCCGTCTCATTTAGACAACAGCCCCGAGACACGGGCTAAAGTGAAATTTGTCCAGGACACTTCCAAGTATTGGTACAAGCCTGAGATCTCCAGGGAGCAGGGTGAGTGCTGGGCTCCGAGAGCCATCAGAGGCCACAGCTGGCTGCTGCCCTCCATGTCTGCCCTGGGCAGGGAGCTGAGGCAGACTCAGTCCTCTTTGCCGAAGGCCGTGGTCGCGGAGAGGGGCCAGGCCGGGAATCAGGCAGTGAGGAGCGCTTTCCATGGTGAAGCGTGGGCCGGCAGAAGCAGTGGTTGTAGATGCTTGTTGGAAGGGCCCTTAAAAACAGGAAAGCCTTGGTTTTCCTGGGCAAAGTAAAAGATCAGCCAAACTGAAACCTCGGCTCTCTATGCACGCGACGTGGGAGGTTTTTGCGTTGTACAGAGAAAAACAAAGCTGGGAGCGTGGGGCTGCAGACGAGGCTCACCCCAGGTTCCCGCGGGAGGTGTGCGTGGGCGAGGGGCGGGCGCAGCGCAGTGGCCCGAGGCTCAGGTCTGGACACTGCCTGTGTTGTCCATGACGTCTCTTTGGAGCACGGCCGCACCTGCTGGCTTACATCCTGCCTGAGGCTGCTTTCGTGCCGCGGTGGCAGAGTAGGGTGGTTGGGACTGAGACTGGGGGGCCAGCAGGCCTGAAACATTTACTCTGGCCATCTACAGAGAAAAGCTGCCGGCCCTAGGGCAGGAGGTCCCTTAGGAGCGTTTGCATTCCAACTTTGAAGAATGTCGTCTCACCCAAGACAGAATGATGCTCCATAGCCTCGATGAGACGTAAGTGAAGCCCGAGACACCGATTTCTCATTTTCTTTCCTTACCCCGCCCCTCCCAATCCAGCTATCGCACTCCTCAAGGACCAGGAGCCAGGGGCCTTCATCATCCGTGACAGCCACTCCTTCCGCGGGGCCTATGGGCTGGCCATGAAGGTGTCTTCGCCCCCTCCGACCATCATGCAGCAGAATAAAAAAGGTAAGCTCACGTCCCAGCACAGAGCTGAGGACAGTGTCGAACCTGAGGTTTGGGGAGGCCCTGGGTGCTGAGCAGGATGCTATTGTCATGGGACTCTTTGGAAGAGCGTGCCTTGGGCTTGGTGACAGTTGGGGTCGGAGACCAGGGAGGCAGGACTGCTGGGCTGTGTTTCCTGAGTACTGAGGGAGGGGCAGGGGTCTCTCTATTCCATGGGGTTCAACCCTTTCTCCCTCCCTGGCCCTGCACATTGGAGAAGCTAAGAGGCAGTATTGGAGGTGGCGGGAGGAAGCCACGAGAAGTGACCAGGTCCTCATTTCCTTCTCTTCATCCCAGGAGACATGACCCATGAGCTGGTGAGGCATTTCCTGATAGAGACCGGACCCAGGGGAGTCAAGCTGAAGGGGTGCCCCAATGAGCCGAACTTCGGTGAGCTGCCTCCTGCCCCGCTCTGCCTCTGTTGCCTGGCCCAGTCTCTGCCCTGTCCTGGGTCCTCCGGGGTCTGACCCCAAGTTCCACCATGGGCTCTGCCTGTGCCCCTTGTCATAGACTCAGCAGAGAAAATAACAATGGCAGCTTTCCTTCCTCTGCACTGTGGCTCCTTAGCTCTGCCAAATTCCTTTTTGTATTTATTTGTCCTGTCCAAGGAGACTAAGACTTATTATAATTGGAGTAACAATTAGAACAACAGCTGCCTTTACTGACCACCTACCATGTGAAAGTCACCGTCTCAGTGCCTTACACTGCTCTGGTCTCACAACAAGCCTGTATGGTTGGTGCCATCGTCCCCATTTTACACATAAAAACCAAGGTTCTTCGAAGTCAGACTTTACCCAAGAACACATAGATAAGTGACTGAGCTGGGATTTGATCCCACGACTCTCTGATACGTCTAAGGCACTGCTCTGAGAGGGGCCCCAATAACTGGAGGGACTTAGGGGAGATGTTAGGAGGAACTTTCTGCAGAGGCAAGTTGTCAGGTAACCCTGTGACTGCTAGGTGAGCCTTTGGAATCTTTCCTCTTGAATCTTGCTAAAACAGAGTGGGTGAATTTTTTACTTTGTTGGTGGCTCAGGGGAGAGGTGGCTGTTACGTGTGGTGGGTGGGAGTGGGGTCCCCTCACTGCTTCCAGTCGCGCTCCCCTGACGCAGTCTCCCTCCCGCAGGCTCCCTGTCTGCCCTGGTCTACCAGCACTCCATCATCCCGCTGGCTCTGCCCTGCAAGCTGGTCATTCCCAACCGAGGTAGGGACGAGAAACTCCTGCTCACCAAACACACCTTGCGCCGGTGTCCTTCGCGTCTCAGCCCTGCCCACTGCTCTGGAGCATGGGCCAGGGTGGGAGGATGTGGGTTATTTTGCCAATCTGGGGAAACTCAAAACAACTCTCCTTTTTTTTTTCCCATTAAAAAAAAAGAGGAAGAAAAAGTTCATTAAAAAGCTGAAATCCAGGAACATACATAAGTTGACTTGCCAGATTGTTCTGAAAAATCCTCTGCAGGCTTCAAGAAATTCATATTGAATCCTCAGGCTAAGCCTCACCCCATGGGAGGCATTAGAAGTCGGAGGCAGTCAGGAGAGGGCCGAGCCTGGAGGATGAGGCGGGCATCAGTGGGAAGAGGGAGGAGGATGCAGGTGCAGGTGATAAGGGTCGGTGTGGACAGAGAGGAGCGAGCTCCAGGGACCTTTCAGAGAAGGTGGCTGGGCTCCGCATGGCATGGGAGGGAAAGGGCAGGGCCCCTTTCCCTGGAATTTCTAGTCTGTGTGGCTGGGAGGTTGTGCCGTGACTTAGGGGACATGGAACTGGGTGGAGCAAGTACTCTTTTGACTGTGGGAAGTTTGAACAGGACCCATGAGCATGAGGACACACAGGACAGAATTTGAGTGAGACAGCAGGGCCGGTGCGGGAGAGTTCAGCGTCCCTCATAGAGGTGTGCCGGCCCGGGAGGGTGGCAGATAATCACTGAGAACTCCCCCCAGCTCAGGCCTCTATCGCCCAGTCCCCAAGCATGCAGGCCGCCCCTGGGGTCACGATGCCTGGCCCTAGTGCAAAGTGTAGGCACTAGGGGCTGGGCTGCTTTTGCCACCTTCTCTGCGCCCGAGGGTCTGGCCCTGGGGCTGTCTCCAGTCTCTCTTGGAGCTCCTGGAGTTATGCCCACATGTGAAACCTCAGATACTATTTGACAATTTCTATTTATCAAGTTCCATTCATTCAATTATTAATGCTAATTGACTAATATTATTATTTTAAAAGTTCAAATACAACTTAAAGAGAATTGTTAGCCACACAGATTTAGATACTAATTGAATTATATTTCTATGGGATTTACCATAGTAGTTCAGCAATTAAAAAAACATTTGATATTTAAATTGTATAAATCAGTGGTTCTCAAAGTATGGTCCCCAGGCTAGCTGCTTCAGCATCCCCTGGGTACTTGTTAAAAGTGCAAATATTCTCAGGCTGACCCAATCAGAAACTCTGGATTGGGCTAGAAATCTGTATTTTACCAAGTCTGCACACCAAAGTCTGAGAAACACTGGTATAAACAATACTCAATTCTTATTTTTTTTCTGAATTTCTTTTTTAAAAAAATTAACATATAGTTGACAAAAATTATATCAGGTTTGGCATTCAATATGACGTTTCAATATATGTACATTGTGACATGGTAAAATCAAGCTATTATGACCATTGCTCAATTATTAATATTGAAAGTATAGTTATGTTACATCAATGGTTTATTGAATTAGGGCACTTATTGATCTACACAAAGACATATCAATGCAAAATAGCAACAGCAACACCAATTGCCTCTTGAAGGCTTGCTTTTTGCTAAGCACTGGGCTAAAAACTCTCCTACATAGAGTGTCTCAAACACTCAGTGACATGGCTACCATTGTCATCATCTCTGTTTTATGGATACTTAGCAAGTGGTGGGGTGAGGGTTTGAGCTCAGCTCTGCTGGACTCCAGGGCTCTCAACCAGCGTGCTGGATACTTAATCGTTCGACATTCGTGCTGAGCCTGCCACAGGGCTGACGGCCAGGGCCTGCTATGAACAGCAGTGTCCCTTGCCCGAGCTATTTGCAGAGCTTGCCTTAGGCCCAGCCAAACCTGTGCTTCTTTCCAGCTCTAGGGTTTTAATTCCAGCTGAATTTTTGTCTCAGACCCCACAGATGAATCGAAAGATAGCTCTGGCCCTGCTAACTCAACCGCCGACCTGCTGAAGCAAGGGGCAGGTGAGTAGTCACCTGAGACTGGATCCCTGCCCGGGCCTTTCTTTCTGAACCCCTCCCACCCTGACCCCTCCTGCAGGTGCAGGCTGGATGTTTCTCTCAGAGCCAAACGTCTCTGGGCAGATCACATTTCTGTGTGCAGATGCCTTGGCCCAAGGCTGGCCTGAAATTCACCTGCTACCTTCTCCCTGAGGAATGGACCTGGGGTCTTGTCCCCGCCTACCCCAGCGACCATGACTCCTCCTTGGGTTGATTTCTTCCAGCCTGCAACGTGCTCTTTGTTAACTCTGTGGACATGGAGTCCCTCACTGGGCCCCAGGCCATCTCCAAAGCCACATCTGAGACATTGGCTGCTGACCCCACACCAGCTGCCACCATCGTTCACTTCAAGGTCTCTGCCCAGGGAATCACTCTGACTGACAACCAGAGAAAGTAAGACTCCTCTCCCTGTGTCTGTGTTGGGCTCTCCTTCATGTGACCCACTCACCCACCCATCTACCCACGGATCCATCCCTTGCACCCATCTACTCACCTACCCACCCATCCATCTATCTTGCATCCATCTTCTACCTACCTGTTACTCACCCATCCATCCATCCATCCACTTGCTCACCCTCTTGCCAGTTGATCCATCCATCCCTGCATCCATTCAACCCCCATCTACCCTCCCCACCCATCTGTCCCTTCATCCATCTGTGTCTCCACCCATGTATCCATCCACCCACCCATCCACCCTTTTACCAGGATCCACCTGCATCAGCTGTACAGCTGTAAACACAACTGTTACTAAGCCCCTGCTTCCTCGGAGCAGAGCCTTCCTCTTGGACTCTCTCCTAAGTGTCCCAGCCCCTTTCCTTCCTCCAGGGCCCCCTCCCCCATTTCTCATTCCTCAGTGCCAGTTTCTTCCTTCCTTTCCCAGCCTCAAGCATTTGGGACATGTCCCTATGGCACATCTGTCTGTGTCTGTCCCCAGTGAGCAGCTTAGGCCATCTTGCATAAGCGACAGGCTGCGTGACCCATGACAGCCACAGGTGGTAGAGAGGTGACCTGAGCTGTTGTGGAAGGAGGGGAGAGGCAGTCACTTGGGTGCTCATTCTCTGTTTCTCTGATCTTTGTACGGCAGGCTCTTCTTCAGACGACACTACCCCCTCAACACTGTCACCTTCTGTGACCTGGATCCACAGGAAAGAAAGTAAGTGCCTTGCCTCCCACCCAGCTCTGTAACACTGAAGTCTGTGTGCAGGTGTGAGTGTGTGGGTGCATGCGTGCATGTGTGTGCGGGTGCGTGCGTGCATGTGTGTACACGTGCATTCCTGGTTCAGCTGGAAGAACTGCCTGTGTGTGAGGAGTGGTGTGGGGTGTCTTTTGAGTCGTCCCACCTCAGATACGGAGACCCTCCTGGGGACTCAGTGCCCACTTCCACCCCTCTGCCTGTCTCCGACCCTGCATGTGCTTTGCTGCACGTTGGGGAGGGCACCTGGGAGGCCCCAGGGTTCTCTCCGCCTTGATGCCCCCACGTGATCTTGGGAGGCTCCTGTGCCCGGGAATGGGGCACTTCTGCCTCCTGCAGAAGGTGTGGCGGGGCAGGCTGGGCTCCCGGGGAGGGAATCGCGATTCACCTGTGATTTACCCTGCGCTGTCCTCCTCTCCACAGGTGGATGAAAACAGAGGGAGGCGCCCCTGCTAAGTAAGTGTGGCTTCTTTACCCCGCCCGGCGGGCCTTGGTCCTCCCTGTAGAGGGGAGCAGGGGGCAGGTTTAGGATCCAGGGCCAGGCGGGTAGGGGGATGGCAAAGAAGACCTTTGTGTCGAGGTCACTCAGTTTTGGAGAAAAGCTTGACAAGGCAGCCAGGCCTTTAGCCACCTTCTCAGATCAGAACCAGCAGGGATCCTGGGAAGTGGATAGAAAACTGAGTTTTGTGAGAGGTGATGGCCTTTGGGAACAGTGTGTTTAAATGATCTTTTCTGCCCAAATCTTTGCTGCTTTTATTCCTGTTTTTGCTTTCCTGTTGGGCTTCTGTGTGTCTCGTGGCTGGGCTAGACGAGAATGTGGGCACCCATTTCTGAGTTCTGGGGGTGGCCCTGGGACGTGTGGGTGTCCTTCCATCTATTCAGCATATCCTACGTGCAGCTTAGGAGCTCAGAGCTGCCCAGGATCCCGACTCCACCCTCAGGAGGCCCACCGGCACAGCAGATAAGACAAGCGTATAGGCTGGGCGCGGTGGCTCACGCCTATAATCCTAGCATTCTGGGAGGCCAAGGTGGGCAGATTGCTGGAGGTCAGGAGTTCGAAATCAGCCTGAGCAAGAGCAAGACCCCATCTCTACTATAAATAGAAAGAAATTAATTGGCCAACTAATATATATAGAAAAAATTAGCCAGGCATGGTGGTACATGCCTGTAGTCCCAGCTACTCGGGAGGCTGAGGCAGGAGTATTGCTTGAGCCCAGGAGTTTGAGGTTGCTGTGAGCTAAGCTGATACCTCAGCATTCACTCTAGCCTGGGCAACAAAGTGAGACTCTGTCTCAAAACAAAAAAAAAAGACAAGTGTATAAACAGCACTAGATGTTTCTGTGGTTTCCAAACTGTGTTGCAAGGAACCCTGGGACCCTCGGGTTGCAGCTTAGCTGCTCAGACAGGAAGGAAAACCCTGTTACTATTATCACCAGGATTTTCTCAGTATCACAAACCCCAAACCCTAAAGTGGGTAAATATTGTGCTTTTGGATTGATACATTTGTAGCCATAAAATACTTCTTTCACCTTTATATATTTGGACTTCATACAAGATTGCTTTGGAAAAAGAAAACTTTCACTGTTATTTTAAAAAGAAAGCATTGCTGGGTGAGACGGGCAGGAAGTGCAGCTCCCTCTGGGCACCAGAGCAGGAAAGCATGTCCATCCACCAGGGAGAAGGTGGGAGAGGTTTGGGGAAAGAACAGATATTTTTAAGTGGATCTTAAAAGACAGGTACAATTTGGGACGGGTCAACACTCCCAAAATGAGTGTGGGAGGAGGAGAGAGACTGTTTTGGGGGGAGGGGCTCACAGCAAGCCCCCTGCAGGCAGGAGCATGTGTGGCTCCTGGGAGGCTGATACCTATCTGTTGGATGAAGAAATGAGAGGACAGAGGCTGGGCTGGGGAGAGTCAGGAGGAGGCTGCAGGGAGGCCACCTCAGCCAGAATGCATGGGACGGGACTAGCAGTCTGTCGCACGATCAGCCGTGGGGGTTTCAGAGGGGCCATGTGGGATGGAGGGGTCCTCAAGGACTCCAGTCCTGGCGTCTCCTTGTGTCCCTGCCGGCCAAGCGGGCAGCCAGAACTTCGTGTTTGAAGGTGCTCGGGCTCCCCTCTCCATGAGGGGGAGAGGTGTCAGCAACAGAAGGGAGCTGGGCCCCAGGCCTGGAAATCCCTCTTTTTCCCCTTCAGGAGCTGCTCTTGGGCTGAGCTTCCTGCCAGGGAGGCCTAGATGGGTGGGGCAGAAGCTGCAGGGACAGGCTCAGGGGACAGAGGCCTTGAGTGTGGCCGGTGAGGGACTAGGGCGAGGCGAGTGTGGCATAAGCTCTCAGGCCTGCTCTCTGGCCTTGGCTCCCTTTCTTGCCCGGACCCGCCCCGCCCCCAGGCAGGTGACAGCGCTGGGTGACTGTTGGTCCAGGCCCTGGGAGCCTTGGAGCTCCAAGGAGATAAGCAGAAGGGAGAGCAGGTGTGCTCAGGGCCAGCGCAGCAGCTGGGAGGTGCCCGTCGCTCCTCCCGACCCCCCCAATGCCCCCTCCCCCAGTGCAGGGCCTGAGCCAGCCCAGGAAAGGAGGTGCTGGGGGTCGCTCTGTGGACCCCGCTTCTCCCACCCAGGCGTTTCCCCAGGCCTTTGGGCCTGTGTCCAGGGTCCCTGAAACAAAGCTGTGAGAGCAGAGCTGTAGGACATACAGGGCTTTGTGTGTGTGTGTGTGTGTGTGTGTATGTGTTTGGGGGAGTGCATGTGTGTATGGCATGTATAGTGTGCATATGTGTGTGGGATGTGTGCATGTGGTGGGTATGTATGTGTAGCATGTGTGTGCATAGTGTATGTGTTGTGTGTGTATATATGTGTGCATGTGCGTGGTGTGGTATGTGTTACGTGTGTGCTGTGTGTATGTGCTATGTGTGGTGTGTATATGTATGATATGTGTTTGGTATGTATGTATCACATGTGTGGTCTGTGTGTGGTATGTATGGTGTGCGTGATATGTATGTGCTGTATGTGTTGTGTATCAGTGTGGTGTGTATGTGTGAGGGGTGTGTAGTGTATATAGGTGTATGTGTGTGTTGTCATTGTGTGTGGTGTGTGTATATGTGTATTATGTGTGGTGTGGTATGTATGCGTGTGTTGTGTATGTGTGTGGTGTGTGCGTGCATGCAAAAAGACACAGCAGCCAGCAGAACCCAACCTTGCTAATTGTGGCTGCCAAGTTCCAGTCCTAGGGAGAGGGGTTTCCATCGGAATCTCCAGCTGTCCTGATTTCCCCATCTCACTGTAATTAGCAACACAGCGGCTGGGAGGGGACCTGGGCTCACATTCTGTTCTCTGCCCTCGTATTTTTAACTCTGTTTTGCAGAGGGAATGCTGGGTCACTCCAGTCGCGGTGCGGGTGGGGCACGAGTGTGGGGGATGGGTGTGGGGTCCACCTCCCTTCCTACTCTCTGGGATTCCAGGCCTCTTGAGCACAGGAAGAGTAAGTGTGCATGTGTGAGGGGTGACCCGCTTGTCTTTTTGTGTCCTTCTGAGCTCGTGGTGTCTGGGGAGGCCAAGCCCTTTGCAGGCAGACGGCATTGCGCCGTTTGTAGGAACAGTCAGTACGGGTGGGGCTGGGGTGGGCAGGAGAGAAGCCTGTCCGGGAATGTTCCCGTTTTATTTTGGTCTCCTCCCCACCCTTCACTGTCCGGTCCTATCACTCATCTCCAGCTCCCCTCCCACCCCTCGAAGTGGGACTCTGTAGTCGGGCTGGAGAGGGGTGTCTCTCACGGTCTCTCTCACGCCCGCCCCTCCCGCCCCCACAGGCTCTTTGGCTTCGTGGCCCGGAAGCAGGGCAGCACCACGGACAACGCCTGCCACCTCTTCGCGGAGCTCGACCCCAACCAGCCAGCCTCTGCCATTGTCAACTTCGTCTCCAAGGTCATGCTGAGTGCCGGCCAGAAGAGATGAGCCCACCCCTTGCCCTGGGCCAGTGCAGTGGGGACGGGGCCCATGGGGAGGGGACCCAGGAATCCTGACCACCCTTGAATCCAGAAGGAGGACTTTGGGCCAAGTTTGGAGAAGGAGAGAAGAAAGTGCAACGTGGGGAGAGGGAAGTGAATTGCAGAGGGGAGGGGGGAAGAGAGGGAGACCGAAGGAGAAAGATGGCGGAGAAGAACTCAGATTCCCCTGGGTGATGGAAATTTCAAAAACCCAAAGCCTCCAAAACTAACCAGGTCCCCCTAACTCCCCCTTCCCCCCTCCTAGAGGAGAAGGAACAAGCCTCCTTGGGGATCCATATGTTTGGGGGAATGGAAAAGCCCCGTCTTCCTAACCCAACTGCTTTGCAAGGAGAAATCAAGCTTTTTCTGGCCACCTAGGGTAGGTTGTCAAACCAAACAGAACCAGCGTGGGACATCAAGCGGGAGAATTTTCTGTTTTGAAAGTATCTCAGACCCAGGGCACCTCAGGTCTCTTCGCTGTGCCTCTGATGTATTGTGTGTGGGAGTGTGTCTGCACCCACACCTCACGTGCTGATTCATACTTGCCTCTGTCGGCTAGAATTATGAACGGCTGTCCTCGTCTGTGTCCCATGTGTTTGCAGACACAATGTCCAAAGAAGGTTAGGGTGTTAGGGGTGACAGGGCAGCAGGAAGGGACAGAAACCCTCTTTTGCAGGAGCACCCAAGCTGTGAGTGACAGGGGCTCTCTCTCCTGGTCCCTGCACCTGCACTCTTGTGGCCCTTGGTGCCACCAGCCTTTCTCCTCCACAAAGACCCCAGCGGGAGTGGGGGTGGCCGCCCCTGCAGCTTAACCCCGTTCTGCCTTAACTGGGGGGTGGGAGCTTTGGCTTGAGGAGGTGAGGATATGTGTGTCCGTGGCCTTGGGGAAGAGCTCTGCCAGGAAGGACAGCTGCTGAGCTCGGACATCTGCCCTGAGGTGCGCAGCCAGTGGCAAGGACGGTGGGTCGCCCCCGCTGGTGCCCTGGACTTTGCCTTAGCCCCCACCTCGCAGCCCCGTTCTTGGGTGTCATGCCCCAGAACCAGCCTTATCTCAGACTTGCTTATCTGCATGATGCCTTTTTGGGGTCTGGAGAGCGAGCCTTCCTGCTCTGCCCTGCCCTATTCTGTCTGTCCTGCAGGGTCCCCCTGCTGGGGTTCATCCTGGGAACCTGTTTTCTGCTCAGCGAGGCCCAGGGGAGGAGCCTGTAGTCTTTTTCCTCCCCTCAGTACATGTTCTGGGGTCCGACTTCAGCAGGCCCCCCTCCGCTGGGCTGCCCAGGGTGACATCAGCAGAGGTCCTGGGGCTGCTACCTGTGTGCCACATGGCCTACCTACAATGCCAAAGCCTCACTGTTCCCCCTGCTGCCTTGGTTTCCCCAGCTGAGCCACACTGCCCATGCAGAAGAGGGCAGAAGACATGCATTTGGGCCAAAGGGCCTAGGGCCGATTTGGGCAGTTGGGAAAAACCCTGACCACCACCCAAAGACACTAAGCCAGAATGGAAAATTCACCAGGACTCCATGCTTAAGCCTAGAGGGGTCCCCTAGAGAGAGGCATTGTACTGATATTATAAATATATATAATATATACATGAGACATACTGACAGAATCTGTAAGCTAATAAAATATAAGAAAAGGTAAAAAAAATAATAGGTAAATTGACAAGAAGTATTTATTGTTTTCCCATATTGCTTTACTGCCTTCCCTGGGCATAAACCAATTCTCATCCCTTTTTATATGTCTAAGGAAAGCCTGAAACGTAGGGGGCCTTTATTCTTGGAGCAGCCAGGGGTCCCCTGGCCCTGGCCTTCCCTAGACTTTGTCTGGGCTCAGTGCTGGGGTGGGGGAGCTGCACATGTTCCACCTGTTTGGCCCCCTCATTTTCTGGCCGACCAGCGGCCGGGCGGTCAGCTCCCAGGACGTGAGTGTGTGTGCGTGTGGGACGTGACTGTGTGGCACGCAGGGCTGTGTGTGCATCTTTTGTGTTTTTTCTCCTCCAAGGAGCTGGATCAGAGTGGATATTCTGTTTCAGGGAGTTGGAAAGGACGGTGGGGAGAAGGCGGTGGGGAGCAGGGGCTGAGGCCCCACCGGCCGCTACTTCCCGAAGAGTGAAATCTCATGCCTGGTGACCGAGGTCCCTCCAAAGTGCTCTTCCTTCTGAGATATTCAAGCCCCAAACCTGGGTTTCCCCCTCTCCTCGTTCCCTTGCTAACCCCAGATCTCTTCCAAGATGGAAGGAGATGTATGTTACCCCTTCCTTTGTAAATATCTTCACCCCCCCACTGGACAGCCGGGGGGCCACCTCCTGGGTGGGAAGTTCTCTCCACACTTGCGGCTGGATGGGGCGACAGACCCCTCGGTAGCCAGACTCAGCCCGGGACTGAGTCTGGGATCAGCCTTCACACCCACGTCCTCCCACCACCGCCCCCACAGCCACCCCGCAGGCACGGCCGCCCCTCCACGCCAGGCCCTAGCCGCGTGTGACCCCGCGGGAGGACCCAGGTCAGTGCTGGAACCTGGTAACTCTCTCCCAGCATCCCTCTGGAAGGAGCCGGTTTCTGAGAGTTTGGCCGTGCGGGGAGAAAGACGGGAAGTGTCCCCAGTCTCACCAGAGCCCTCTTGTGTCTCACAGGTAGGCGTGCCCCCCGCACACACACCACTCAGCACTGCAGTATATTCTTGCCAAAGATTTCCTTTAAAAGAAAGCACTTTTACTAATTATTGTTATTATTTTATAAGTGTTTATCCTCTTTGTTCCTCTCCCTCCCTCCACCTGTTTTGCTGTTGTTTGTTGTTGAGTCTGTTTGTCAGCCAGGAGAGTGCTGTCTGGTCTTGAGTCCCACCTGGGGGGGGAGGGGCCGGGAGAAGCTGGCAGGAGAGAGCGGGAGAGGCGTGGCCATCCCGAGATGCAGCAGTGCAGACCCCGCAGGCTCTGGCCCCAGCCCCAAGGCCCTTGCTGCCACTAGCTGTGCAGCCAGTGTCTGCCGCAGGCCCCAGCAGGCTCCTGTGGGGTCTGGAGGCAAGAGAGAGAGAGCAGGAAAGGGACATCTCTAATTCAGCTAGAAGAGGGCCCAGTGAGCTCCATGTGGCTCTTTCCAGGGGGAGCAAGAGGGAAGACTTGGACATGGGAGCAATAGAGAGGCCCCCACCCCCCAACCGTCCATCACAGTGGACGTCCATCACAGTTTACTTCGCCAGGTGTTCAAGGGAGAGACACATCACACCCTAGGTTTGGGAGTGGCCTTTGACCCATCTTATCTGAGCCTCTCCCAGGCAGCTCTGAAAAGCCCATGGATTCCTTCTCCCCTGGTTTCGAGGAATCCCTGGGTGTGTCAGAGACTGGCCAGGATAGGGGTGGTAGCATCTGGTGGCTTGTGACACAGCAAGGGAACAGCCTGCTGCACACGTGTGATCGTGCCATAAGGAGCTCTCAGGTAGTTGGGGAGTAGGGGAGCCTTTTGACTCGTGCTGATGGGCCTGTGCAGAGGGCGGTGAGTGTGACAGCATCTGTCCTCACTCCGACACTTGTCCACCACCTCTGCCTCGTAGGTCCTCTCCCCCTTCCTAGTTTTTTCCCAGGTTCAGAACCTAGAGTTCAAGTGGGCCAGTGCCCCAGCCAAGGAGCAGCCCACCCCTACCGCCACACTCAGGGGCCTTGAGAAGGCTGGGGGCCTGGGGGCCAGACCCACCTTTTCACCTGGGTCTGGGCCCTAGCATCCTGAGACTCACGTTTCCTCGGCCAGTGGTAACATAGGACGTGTGTGTGTGTGTGTAAGTGTGGATGTACATGTGCGCATAGTATTTTTTGCTCATCTCTTTAGGGAACTTGGGGGTGGGGGCTGGAGGTGGTGGGCAGTGGGTGTCACGTCCAAGATCACTCCGCAGCAAGGGGAATCAGGAGGGGAGGCCTGTAGGGCCACTGGTTGGTGCAGTCTCAGTGTTGGGGGCGTCGGGCCGCCGGGCTCAGGCACATCTGTTCCTTCTTGACTCCTCTGTCCTCCAGTGTCCAAAATGTCGGAGGACCTCTGTTTATATCCACACCTGGGCTCTTCCCAACAGCGAAGTTATTGTAGAGGGATGTCTCAAGTTTGTTTTCTAATCAGTGTTAAGCCGTTTGGAACTCTCCTGTGTGTCCGTGTTTGGTGTGTGCGTGTGAACGAGAGAGCACATCAGTGCGTGCATGCTGTGTGTCCCCGTCTCTCTCCTCCCTTCTGACCTATCATTCAAAATAAATGCAAGGAATTCCTTACACCACCCTCCCTGCGTCCCAGGCCTTCTGCAGGAAAAACAGAATAACCCAGCATCCTCCCCGTGCCCTGGCTGTGTATTTATATAGATGGAAATATACTTTATATTTTGTATCATCCTGCCTATAACCTCCACCACCTTGTATAAACCCTGGTGTATGCTACTTGTCCTGGACATGAATGTATTGTACACTGATGCTGTCCCCCTCCTGTACAGCTGCTTTGTTTCTTTGCAATCCATTGTATGGCTTTATAAATGATAAAGTTAAAGAAAAATCTGTGCTGCTATCTAGCTGTGTTGTTGGACATGGGTATGGTGGGCAAAAAGGGGTCTCTTCCTGACACCAGGTGGGCTTCAATGATGCCTTTGGTGGGCAACTCTCTTCAAATCCTCCCAACAGCTTCTCCACCAGACAGGTCTTGGTAGAAGCAGGAATTTGTCCCCATTACTTGGTTCTGAGTCCACTTAATTCTCAGGCAAGCTGTACCCAAGAGGTGGTGCCACCAGATGCCCCAGGCTTTCATGCCACCAGCTCCAATAGAAGAGGGCTCTTTTATCCTGACGTTTTCAGCAAAAACCTGGGGCAAATCTTATTGGCTCTGATAGGCCCTGCTCAGCTCCTATCATTAACTTGGGACCAATCACTATCCAGATCTGGGTTACACAACTGCCTCTGGAGCCTTCTGAGACCGTGAGGACTGAGAATGGGGAGTGTTGGTCCCTGAGGAGCTGAGGTTTATCAGAAGAAAGGGGACAGAGGCTGTCGGGCAAAATCTACAGGTGCCCCTCAGGTGGTACGTGTGTAGCTCGTTCATACACCAGCCCGGTGGTCCTGGGCGAATTCTTTGGAATTCAGAAAGTTTGGGTGTGGTGTGCCATGCACAGCTCAGGGGGTTCTGGGAGACACAGAAACACACAAAGAACGTGGCTGCAGTCCTTCAGTGTGGCTGGGCGGGGGCTCCGATCAGCTGACGCGAGCAGGTGTGGGCTGAGCACCCCTCTGGCCAGCACGGCCCTGTACTGGGGGCAGCTTCTCGTGCGGTTGGGTCTCAGGACTCCCTTATGCTCTTGGGAATTAGTCAGGACCCCAAAGAGCATCTGTTTGGATGAGTTAAGTCTTTTGATCTTTGCCACAGTGTAAATATACATTAAAACTGAGAACATTTAAAACATACTGTTCAATTCACTTCCGTGAAAATAAATTCACTACCTGTTAGCATACATAGCATTTTTATGAAAAATAATGATATTTTCCTGAAACAAAAAGGACTAGGTGAGAAGGGTGACATTGCTTTGCATTTCTAAAGGCTTTTCATGTCCGGGCTAGCAGAAGACAGCTGGACCCTCCTCTCTGCTTCCCCAGCCCGTGTGCTGTGATGTCCCACGTCGCGGGCGGCGGGAGAACACTGCACACTTGCGAGAAAACGAGTGGAAAAGACAAACGATGGCTTCACATTATTGAGAAAACAGTTCTGACCTCACAGAACCCCTAAGGGGTCTCAGGAGCCCCCAAGGAACCCCAGACCATGCTTTGAAACCTGCTGCTGTCAGGGACACAGGACACGGGAACCTCAGCCCCTTCCTTTGGTGGGGACTTGACATGGGTCACATCCTGCTCTCTGAGGGGCGTTGTCATGCCAAGTCTTCCCAACAGACCCATGAGGTAGGTATTGTTACACATAGGGACAAATCAGGAAACCAAGACTCTGAGAGGTCATGTAGCTTCTAACTGGCAAAGCTATTAGTAGTACTCAGTGTTGTCACTGCTGGTGACGGCTGGCACCCAGACAACATTTGCTAGGTGCCGGGGTCTGTGCTAAGCACGGAGGTGAGTTTTCTCAGGCGCATGCACCTGGGAGAGAAGGGTTATCCTTGTCCTCATTTTGCAGAGGAAGGAACTCGGGTGCAAAAGTTAAGACACTTGCTCAAAATCAGACAGCTGGGTGGGTGGGAGGGCTGGGCTATGAACCCAGGCGAGCTGACTTCCCAACCATGCTCTTGCCAGCTCACACCTCTCTCTCTGCCCTCAGGGCCAGCTTTCGAGGGGACACACAGACTCTGGTGGGCGATGGGCAGGTGGGAGACCAAACGAACATGATCGGACAGACAGGTGCTCAGGGCAGGCTGTCAGGATGGCTTCCCAGGGAGTGGACCAGGCGCCTGGGTGTGTAAGGGGAGGCAGGGGGTCATCCCGATGCCACGCAGCTGTGGAAGGATGCGGGTCACCGGGCTGGGCCTGGCTCAGGGGAGGAGCATCGGATGAGAGGGACAGGCCCGGGCCTGTGGGCTGAGCTGGCACAGCCTGCCTTTGAGGGAACCCAACAGGGAGGGGGCGGCTGTGCTCCCCGTGCCCGGCCTGGGAGGAGATGGGCCGGGGCTGCGGCAGGAGGCTCCGGGTGAGCGAGGGCAGCTCTCTGACACCTTAGCATAGACGACCCAAAGGACCATTGTGTTTTCTACACCAAGTGTGGCCGGCGCGGTGTCAGCAGCAGCGTCACCTGGTGCGTGTCAGAAGGGCAGGGCCTCTCACCCACCCAGGCCTACAGAGCGGACCCACGTGGTGACTAGATCCCCAGAAATCTGTGTAAGCCGCCTGGCTGTGCGTGTCGTGCGGGACTAGAAGCCACGGCTCAGACGCTCAGCTCAGCATCTCCTCGGCACCCCTGAAACGTCAGGACCCGGAGCTCTCTCTGGGTCTCTGTGGGAGACGGGCGCCCCGCTGACAAGAGGCTGGTCTGTCTGCTGCCTGGGGCTGGCCTAGGCCAGACAGGGGCGAGTCCTGGCCCAAGTGAGCAGAAACTCTGGGTGTACTAGGTGTGCAGGGTGCGAACAGAGTTGGCCTGGAAAGAGGCAGGGACGACAGCCAAGGGAGGGCAGGAGGGGCAGAGGGATGGCGCTGGGGGGAGAGAGGGCCAGGAGTCTCTCACTTGTCCTCAAATTCAGCTGGAAAGTACGGAAGCCTGGGCCCCACCCCAGAGGTTCTGAGTGAATCAGTCTGGGGTCCAGCCTGGGCGCTGGGATGTTTTCATCACTCCCAGGTGATTCTGCGCACAGCCAGGGCCAAGAACTGCTGTGGGAAACTGCAGATTGGATCCTGCCATGGCGGGCGTGTGTGGGGCATGTCAGGGGAGTGCATTGGACAGGGTGGGGTGCTGAGCAGGTCGGGGAGAAGGTGGAGATGGGAGAAGTCCCCTCTGGACTGGCTTGGGCCCCCGCCTCTCCTTCTGGGGCTGGCAAAATGCTTTCCCCTCCCCTCATGATTGGAGCCTCCTGGTATTTTAATAAATTCCAGGCCTGGATGGGACCTCAAATGTCCCTCTTCCTGCATCCCATCCCGGGGTGTGGGGGGGAGGCTCTCTGAGAAAGGAGGGATGCAGCAGACTCTTCCAGAGACTCACCGCAGGGGGCATGAAGATGCCAGGTGGGGGTGGGGCAGAAGGCCTGGAAGAGGTTGTGTAGACTGGAGCGTTTCAACCCCAGGGGCTCTGCACTATCTCCTCGTGGGTACTGAAATCAAATTCTGCCTTCCTCTTTTAAGCAACTTGATTTTCTGGGATGTTCCCTGTTAGCTGGTGAAAAATGACTGTTTATTAGTGCTTAGCAGTTCACAAGCAGTTCAGAATACGGAGAGGATAGAGCCCATCCTAAAAGCGCTGACAGTAGGTGTGGGACCAGAGACGCGGGTCTGTGCATGTGTGTGCACCCACACACGCTCAGGTGCACACGACACACAGAGGCACACACAGACACACGGACACAAGAGACCTGGGCCCTTGGGCTGCGCTGTGTCTCCGTGTAGGCACCTCCTGTTCTACCTCCTACTGCCCAAGCATCCTGGTGCCCAGCCATCTACCTGACTCCCAACTGGCTGGTGGGTTTGCTTCAGCAGTTAGGGGGCCATCGCCGAGGCAGGGAGCTTCTCTCACCGTGAGCGACCCCCTGCAACATGGGCAGAGTGGCAGGATCACAGGAGGGGAGAGCTCTGCAGATCAGACCAGCCGAGGGGCCTGGTGCGCACTGGATGTGGGGCGTGGGCGAGCTGGAGTGGGGCGGGGGAGGGTCGGAGCCCCCGAGCACTTGACGTACCTGAGAGCTCTGCTTGCAGAAGACGAGGCCGAGGGAGGACGGGGTGTCGGCCTCTGGTGTTTGACGGCCTCTGGGGACAGCAGCATCCTCTGGGCTCCAAATGTAACAGGTGAGAGCTGCGGGGGAGGCCAGAGGCGGGAGGAGCTGCTTGGGATGGAGAGGGGCGCGTTGAGAGGCGTGAGGTCCTGGCCCTGCAGCTGTTGGAGCTGGAGACTGCCACAGGCCCTTCCAGGCCCTGTCCTGGCGTGGCTGCAGGCACATGCTAGCAGAGCCTCCTCGCCCACCTTGAGCCGAGAGTGCAGATGTGGCCGGGCCCTGAGACCCATAGCAGAGCCGCTTGGAACATGACCTTCCTTGAAAGGCACTGGCCTCCGAAGCAGGCGCTCTGGCTCTGGCTCTGCCTTTGCTGGGACCTCAAGAATGTTTCTTCCCTCTTTGGGCCCCAGTTTCCTCATCTGTAAAATGGGATGACACCTACCCCAAGGGCTGGCATGAGCACTGAGACCCCTGGCCCCTAGCATGGCACTCAGCTGCCTGCTGGTCCTGCAGGCCTTTAGGAAGTCTGCACTTCCTTTCCTTTTCTGGTGCCTCTGGCCTCCTCCACACCATTTCCTTAGGCCTCTTGGGAAACTTGGCAGCAGAAAGGAGTTGGAGCAGAAAACCTCCTGAACGATATCGATCTGGCCGGCTCCGGCCTCCAGACCACAGCGCTTGGGGATGGTGGTACCGCCGCCTCCACGGCTCCAGCTTTCATGGGGTTCGAAAGATCATCTCTGGCCATCAAGACAGGATGTCCGGGTTCTGGGCCCCTCCTCTCCATCTCTGCTCCTTTCCCTGACTCCCAGACCGGCCCTGGGAAACCTCCATTCCGGGGAAACTAAGGGGTGCCCTTAAGGCCACCAGCTCTCTCCCAACCCTGGTCCTCCCCCAGCCCATATCCTGTGTTTGTGGAATCTGGCCTGGCCACACTGTCACCCCTCCCTCAGGGCACGAGGGCTGGTCTGGGGCGTCAGGGGCAGGGGCTGCATGGGGCGGGGCGGGAGACCATCAGGAAGGGACAGAAAGAACCTCAGAGCCACGAGCATTAGAGCTGTGGAGACCACAGGCCTACCTTGGGGTAAGCCAATCAATCAATTGCACACATATGTACGGGCACCTACTGTGTACAGGCACTGTGCTTGGCACTGAGCAACACGGGCAT